GCAGATTCTTTACTACTGTGCTACCTGGGAAGCTCCTGGTGCAGCTAAATAAATAAATACTAAAGAAAAATGTTTTTATTGGGAAGCCCTGGTGGCACAGTGCTAAAGAATCCTCCTGGCAACGTAGGAGACTCAAGAGACGAGGGTTTGATCCCTGGGCTGGTAAGATCCCCTGGAGAAGGAAATGGCAACCCACTCCAGTAATCTTGCCTGGAGAATCCCACGGCCAAAGGAGCCTGGTAAGCTACAGTCCATGGAGTCGCAAAGATTCAGACACAACTGAGCACACATTCCCAGTGCTTTGACAAAGCAGGTTGGTAGCTGGGATGTTCTTCAATCTTTCATTACAAAAAATAAGTTATTTTAACCAGTGGAATCAACAATATACAAATATAGTCTAAAATTGCTAATCTACCTTTATGAAATTGGTATCACACTATAACGTTCTGTAAGTTGCTTTTCTCCTTTTTTTGAAATTCATATATTTATTTCAAGAAACAGGAAAAGACAACAAAATCATTCAAAATCACTATCAGCAGAAATTTAAAAAAGAAAAATTCAGAGCCCTCTCTGATGGTGTTTGTTTTGCCTTGTTTTGTTTTTAATGCTTAAGAAAGTAGTAGTGGGTAAAAATGTAGTGGGTAAGTTGATACTGTAAGTTTATTCATTTGGTTGTTCATTTAATAAATATGAGCAAAGGGATTTTATATGAGAGCAAACAACAAAGGAGTGAACAAATAGCGGTTAGTTTAGTGTGTATGTGTGTGTGTGTGTCTGAAGGATAGAGTATGTACAAGATGTTTTAGGAAGTAAGCACTGAAAGGCAAATTGGACCAGACTCTAGAATGCCATAAAATCCAGGCTAAAGAGCTTCTCCTGAAATGCAGTGGGGCCCCACAGTCCTTGCCACCCATGTCTTTAGCCTGCCTTTGGTCTGTGGAAAACCTGTGTCACCTAGTGTGTGTGTGGGTCCAGCTGCTCGCTGCTCAAAAGCCAGTAAATGGGCCAGGTTGGTGAAAAGAAAAGTTTGCTTTATTTCAGATGCCAGCAACTTGGGGGGAGGGTGGTGGACATCTGACAGCACCTGTATCACTTGCACAAAATAGATTATTGTTTGAAAATTTTTTTATATCCATTTTTGGCTGTGCTGGGTTTTTGTTGCTGTGCCTGAGATTTCTCTAGTTGTGGTGAGCGGGGGGCCCCTCTCTAGTTGAGGCGTGGAGGTTTCTCATTGTGGTGACGTCTCTTGTTTCAGAGCGCCAGATCAGTAGTTGTGGTTTGCGGACTTGGTTGCCCTGCAGCGTGTGGGATCGTCCCAAACCAGGGACCCAACTCATGTACCCTGCATTGGCAGGCAGTTTCTTAACCATTGGACCACTGAGGAAGTCCAAAATGGATTATTTTTTAACCTTAAATCCCATTACTAGTTAAAAAAGTGTTGGAATTTTAATTTTTAATATTTATAAAGTAGGTGTTATTTGCTAAACTCTGTTAGATACCTCAAATCCATCATTTTAGCTCATATCCACTCATTGATTGAACCCCCAATGTTGCCTGCTTGCTTAGATTTTTGCTTTTCTCTTTTAATAGTACATTTTGTCTGTCTGTATTCTGATAGAGAGCTAATTCATTTTAATTAAATGCCTAATATTTTATTATCTGTATGTACCATAATTTATTCAACTGTGCCTGTACTGGTAGATATTAAGATTTCCTTTTTGGCTGTTTGTTTTACCAGAAACAATGCTTTGATAAAGTACTTAGTAATAAATTTTTACATAATGGGTTTTTAATACTCAAAGTGGGATTTCTGGGTCAAATTTTTAATAAATATTGCTACATTGCTTTCCAAAGGCATTGTAACTGTTCACACTTCCAGTTGCATTTAGGAAAGTGTCCCCTGTTCCCACCTCTTCTGCAGCACTGAATATTTTCTCATTTTCAATTTCTTTTCAACCTTTATTTTTTTATTTATTTTTTATTTTTTTATTTTTTAAACTGTTTACAATATGTTTTTTTTTTTTTCCATTGTTGAAAATAGTTCATTTTTTTTTTTTTTTTAACATGTATTCCCCATCCCGGTCCCCCCTCCCCTTTTCAACCTTTAAAGGAAGTTTATTCTTCTTCCCACTATTTCAACTCAGACAGCATGTTGTATTGGTTTATTGAATATTCCAGAGTAGGATGAAATATCCATCATTTCTAACATTCCAGGCAGAACAGCTTGTGCAGAGGAACGTGATGAGTAAGAGGGGCTGGGGGACTACAGTCCATAGGGTCGCAAAGAGTTGGACACGACTGAAGCGACTTAGCAGGCATGCACACACATGGTTCATTATGGCTGAAGTGAGGGAGGGTTTGGTGCAAAATAAGGCTGGATAGACTCCTGTGGGCCAGACGGAACCGGAATTGGTAAACTGTTTAAAGAAAGGCTATCTTTAGCCCAAGAGTTGAGAAGTAACTCTCCACTTAAAAAAATACACAACGTGAGAGTTGCGAGTCAAGTTTTATTTGGGGTAATATGAGGACTGCAGCCTGGGAGACAGGATTTCAGATAGCTCTGAGAAACTGTTCCATAGAGGTAGGGGGAAAGGTCAGTATATATGTGATTTTGGTAAAGGGAGGGTACATTCAATCAAGCACATTTTTTTTCTTAGAAAGTTTCTGCTAGTCTCGTGAAGCTTCTGCGAGTCACGAGAAAGTGTCACCATGAAGGATTTTAGTGCTTTTCTAACTATGAGGAGATACACGAATTGGGCTCATAAAGTCAGCTCCTGAGACTATCTTAACTATCTCAGGACCTGTCCTGCCAGTTTTCTCCAAGCACAGAGTGCCTCATTTCTGCTCTCCACCTCGAACTCCCTCAGGGTGTGTTGAAGGTCAGCAGCACGTGATTTAAACCTTGTGGAGGTAGATAGCAAGCACCCATGGCAAGCGCCAGATTGTAGCTGACACTACCAAAGCTTTAACCGGGGGGATGACGTACGGTCCTGCTTATTTAAAGGCAATTTTTATCTACATAAGAATTCCTTGGTTTGGGAAAAAAAATCCCAAACGATATTTTTATTTTGGCCTTTTGATCATAGCATAAAGCGGTTTGCAAATGTAATAGGTTTTGGCTTCAGGTCGTTCCTTTCACCATCCACTTGCTCCTCTCATGAAAGACCTCCTTGCTTCGGCCGTCAGTCTAAAAGAGGCGGAAGGCTCCGTCTGCCGCGCAGTCTGTAGTCGTCAGCCTTTTGCGTAATCCTAATGCTGCGGGTCTGCCGGAACAAACGGGGAGGGGCTGGAAATAACTGGCGTGTGATTGGGTGCTTAAAAACCGTATGTTAATTAAGTAGCAGTTTGAAATGTCCTCTGAACCGCTGAGAGTGTTCAGAAAGTTTTTTCAGTCTTTGGTAATGCAAGGATTCTTTAGAAAACACATGCCAGTGTATATTTTGAGAGAATAATACGTGTGTGTTTTTTTTTTAAACTCACCATCAGTATAATACGTGTGCTTTTTGTACACCTCTTGAAAACCAGCGCTTTGTGGCTAAGACTATACTTTCAGGGATCATTTCTATAGTTCGTTACTAGAGAAGTTTCTCTGATCGTGTAGAGCACCCGAAACCACGAGGAGGAGACACAGCGTTCTCTCCTGAGCGTGAAGTCGGCTCTTGGTGTTGCTTCTTGCAGCTGCCATTTGCCATTGATGATCGTTCTTCATTTCCTTTTTGGAAATGAAGAGGGAGAGGACGTAGTCTGAGTGGCTTCGGACGTTGCTTAAGTGGTGTTGTACGGATAGGATTTTCTTTTTTGTTTTTTGAGGTATTTATTATTAGTTATTACCAGTATTGGCTGTTAATTTTTTAGATAGTATATACTCTTTGTACTTTATGGTTATCTAGATATTTTGGTACTAGGTATTTTGTGATTTTTCTGGTAAAAAGAATTCCTTTCCTTTGAATGGGGTGGTTCTAGATATTAGAAAATGTGCTTTCCATACAAGGTTACTGGGTTGAAAAGAATGGCTGTGGAGCAAGAGTGGTTTAGATTAGTTTTACTCTATGACTCGTAAGGGCTGTAGCACACGAGGCTTTTCTATTCATCACCGATTCCCTGAGTTTATTCAAACTCTTGTTTATTGCGTCGGTGATGTGCTGTCAAACTATCTCATCCTCTGTCGTTCTCTTGTGCTCCTGTCTTTAATTTTTCCCAGCGTCAGGTTTTTTCCCAAGGAATCAGTTCTTTACATCAGGTGGCTAAAGTATTGCAGTTTCAGCATCAGTCATTCCAATGAATATTCAGGACTGATTTCCTTTAGGATGGACTGGTTGGATCTCCTTGCAGTCGAAGGGACTCTCAGAGTCTTCTCCAACACCACAATTAACACCACAGTTCAAAGGCACCAATTCTTCAGTAGTACTCAGGTTTCATATCCATACATTATTACAGGAAAAACCATAGCTTTGACTACTAGATGGGCCTTTCTTTGTTGGCAAAGTAATGTCTCTGCTTTTTAATAAGCTGTTTAGGTTGGTCATAACTTTTCCATGGAGCAAGCGTCTTAAGTTTACAGCTGCAGTCACCATCTGCAGCGATTTTGAGGATACTGGCAAGTTGCAGTCCATTGGGTCGCAAACAGTCGGACAGGACTGAGCGACTTTTGAACATTTTTCAGTTACGTTTATGTGTTTTGATCATGTGTCTTTTTAGTTTGCTGAGTTTGTTGTGTGTACACATCTCAACTTATGAATTCCCTTTTTATGTTTGAAGACTGAGAACAGTTTTTATCCCTTTTCTTTTGTTAATGTAGTGGAGTGTGGTTTTCAGCAGGCATTTTCTGGAAGTATCATTTTGAGTGTGTAAACACTGGTTTCTTTCTAGTTGATTCTGTGTCCTTTTGTGTTACTATCAGTAGTGAGGGCTTTCATTTTTCCTTTAATTAAAAAAATACTGTATAAAGGAATTTTAATTTTTTTCTTGTATTTGCATTGATCCTGATATTTGCTTTGCAGGAATTTATGTTGATGAAGTTAACTCCCTGGGCCAGACAGCCCTTTACATTGCAGCATTATTAGGCCTTACAAAATTAGTTGATGTCCTGGTGGATTATGGAGCAGATCCAAATCAGTAAGTATAATAATATCATTATCTAGAAAATACACACTAAAGATGAACTGGAGTGTCTGGAAACTAATTTAACAAGATATTAAAGGAACCTTTACTAATTTATGTTGGTGAACTACATTTGTACACTTGTATTGAAACATGCTTTATTTTATTTTATTGGTCGCACAGCTTGCAGGATCTTAGTCCCCTGACCAGGGATTAAACCCAGGCCCCCAGTGGAAAACTGGAGTCATAACTACTAGAGTGCTGTGGCTCAGATGGTAAAGCATTTGCCTGCAATTTGGGAAACCTGGGTTCGATCCCTGGGTCAGGAAGATCCCCTGGAGAAGGAAATGGCAACCCACTCCAGTACTCTTGCCTGGAAAATCCCATGGCTTGGAAAATCCCATGGACAGAGGAGCCTGATAGGCTGCAGCCCATGGGGTCGCAGAGTCAGACACTACTGATCAATTTCTTTAAAAGCCTCTTAAAAAACCCACTAGACCACCAGGGAATTAACAGAAACTATTTTTAAACTATTAATAAAGTTTTCTGAGCAGTAGTGTCTAACTCTTTGCTTTACCAAGTACTGCTTATATAGTTCCATTCACACTATTGTTTATATGATTCATTTAAAAGCACTGTAACATACCCCACAGCTAAGTTCTTAATCAGTGATACTTGGCATTGCTTTGTCAGGATGACATTTGTAGTTGTGGTTTAGAAGAATTTGAGTAATGGTCCAAATTTTTTTTTAATTAATTTTTTTTTTAATGTGGACCATTTTTAAAGTCTTTACTGAATTCATTACAATACTGTTTCTGTTTGACGTTGGCCATGAGGCATGTGGGATCGTAGCTCCCTGACCAGGGATCGAACCTGCATCCCCTGCATTGGAAGGCAAAGTCTTAACCACTGGACCACCAGGGAAGTCCCCTCAAATTTTAATATGAAAGAGCAACACACTGTAATGAGGCAGCTAAAAGTGAACATTTCTTCTCTCCATGTAGGACTTTTTGCTTTGCCCAGGGCCTTCCCAGGTAACAGGGAAAAGCAGGTATTTTTACGGTTTACACTGAACAGAACCAAAAACAGATTTTGAGCATTTACATGATTCCAGCTAATTTTCACAGGAATGCCAGAATATGTACATCATAAGTCATAAAATACCTTTCATATCTAATATAAGGAGACCCTACTGAATGTATTTTTTTTTAAGTACTGATTTTGGAAGTTTGTTGTTATAAGACTGTTTACTTAGAGGGGAAAAAAATTGGAAGCTTGGAGAAGTATGAGGGGAAAACTCAGCAAGATGAGAATTCTGTGACCCAGAGATAACATAATGAACATTTTTCTTTGTTTCCTTCCAGAATTTTTCTGGACTCACATACACTCTGTCTCTGCTATATCAAAACTCAGAAATAGCCCTGCCTGCAGTTCTGCAGCAAAAACAAGTAAATAAAAAAAATTATAATAGTAAAAAAGCAAAAGAAAAATGATCTTTAATACTCCTGATTAGGGGACTGACCCTCCCAGAAAGTTTAAATGGCTGGTCCATAATGATGCATTGTGTTAATGACAAATCTGAGACCAGGAGCCCAGCACCTAAAGAATTCAGAAATTCCCTTTTTAGAAATCCCCATCATAACAGGAGGAGGTGGGAAAGGACAATATCAGGAGGAAGAAGGTAGGCCCCTTAGCTTTTAATTTTGTGATAGGAACACTTTCATGTACTTTAAAATATCTTCCATCAAGGTGAAAGGAAATTTCTGGGGGGTGAAAGGAAATTTCTGGGGGGAGAATGTATTCCTAAGGGCTCCATGGAAATGCTGTGATGGCCTGGGCTTATTGAGGTCACAGAGTCAGATGCCTGCAGGACTAAGTGGGTTCAGTGGGTACAGGCTCTGTCTAAGTAGCATCTGATCAACTGGGCAGAAAAGGAAGCCATGGAGGCCAGATTTTCCAAGAGACTAAAAATCTCAACTTTTATTGTGAAATCCCCAAAGTGTTAAATATTGTCCATTACTTTAAATTCTTATTTTAAAATACTATATGGACCAAATAAAAAATGCCTCTGGGTTGCCAGATCAGTCTGTGGGCCTCTAGTTTTCAGCCTCTAGGATAAATTAACAAAGCAATACATTTTGATACCACTTGAACCTGGATTCTCTTGTATGGTTAGTTGGGCATAAGAAATATTATTCCTTTCTTCCTTAGCATTCATGAGAAATAAAAAATAATATCTTCTCTCTTCCTACCCAGCTCTCTTACTGTTTATGGGAAGAATGATTAGAAGGCTGTAAAACATTATATACAAATTTGTTTTTAAAGCAAGGAGAATGTTACAGTTCCCATGGTGCAGTGTGCTGGACTGCTCATCAGGCCTAGGAATAGGAGAGAACTCACAGTGAGATGGTCCACTGCCTCACTGGCATCACCTGGGGAACTTGTAGAAAGTACACATTCCTGAACTCCATGCTTGCAGATTCTGATTCAGTCTGCTGTATAGTCTGATATCTGTATTTTTGACAGATATCCCAATGACTTATTAAATAAATATGGTATGTCTGTATACTGGAATACTATGCAGCTATTAAAAAGGAATTGAGGTGGCTGTATGTTTTCATATTGAAATTTCTCCTAGATATATTGTTAAAAGAAAAAATTTAAATGCAACAGTTAATATAGCATTCTTTGTCTTGTTTTTTGGCCACATTATGTGATTTGTGGGATCTTACCTGGCGGGAGATTGAACTCAGGCTCTCAGCAGTGGTGAAAATGCCAAGTACTAACCACTGACCCACCAGGGAATTCCTAATATAGCATATTCTTATTCCTACTTGTACGTACATAGAAAATTTCTGGAAGGATACAAAAACTGGTAACAGTAGTTGCCTCTAGGCAAGAGAATTGTGGGTCTGGAATTGGGAGACTTTCTTCTTTTTATCTTCTTTTCCTCTTTTTTTAATTATTATTTTTAAAATTTCTCCTTTCTTTCCCCCTTCCTTCTCCCATTTTTGTTTCTTTTTAAATTAAAGAGAGCAAGCTCTGGAACTTCCCTGGTGGTTCAGACTCCATGCAGGGAGCTCAGGTTTGATCCCCTGGTTGGGAAACTTAAAATCTTGCATGCTGCTTGGCATGGCCAAAAAAAAAAAAAAAAAGCAAGCTCTTTAGGTGATCCTGATGTGCAACCATGTTAGGAAACCACAGCTGCATATCACATCTTCACATTTCATTAAGGGTGTCCCTTCATGTCTCAGATAGTTTATTGGCTTTGGTTACATTTTTTGAGTTGTAGGTGCTTGACCACATTGCTGATGCCAAGGTTTGTGGGCCTCTACCATAGCACTTAGGAGATAGAGACATTCTCACATGAGATGATCTCTGGTTAGGCTGTGCTTCACCAGCCTGACCACGTGGCACTATAGACTTGAAGGTTTCAGGGCAGCCAGTGTCAGGGGACTGGAGACAGAACACTGGGTTTTGAACCAGATCCATGCCTGGGTGTGAATCTTGGCTTTGCCCTTTTTGTTTCCTCATCTGTAAATTGAGAAATAATACTCCTTGAATAGTGGTGGTTAACGATGGGAGAGGGAAAGGTGTATAAAGATGGGAGTGTTAACGGTGTTATTGGTGTGTCACTAATGGTGTTCATACAGGTCTCCTATCACCAAAGGTTGCCTTTGCAGTAAGGGAGCCCTGTGTTATCCATGGAAGGGGAGGAGTGTCTCCATGGACACTCATTGTACCCCTCCCCTCCTCCAGCCGCTGCTTTGATGGGAGTACTCCTGTCCATGCAGCAGCATTTTCAGGCAACCAGTGGATCCTCAGCAAACTGCTGGATGCAGGGGGTGATCTTCGACTCCACGACGAGAAGGGTCGAAACCCGCAGACCTGGGCTCTGGCAGCAGGGAAGGAGCGCAGCACTGTGGTAAGGGAGGGCCTGCTCTGCAGACGTGCTGGTGACAGAGCGCAGGGCCAGAGGCCAGTCCGGGGACAGTACAGGGCTTGCCATCAGTACTGGGCGCACATGCCTGGGATGAAGCGAGTGAACCAGCTGTAAAGCCTTGGTCAGTTTTTCTGGTCATCCATTCAGTGGGGAGAGAGGACGATTGTGGTTTTGTCTGACCCTTAACTAGCACTTACCCTGCATCAGATGTTCTGAATTAAACTAGTTAAATATTAACTCCTTCAATCTTCACAACTACCCTCAGGTAGGTCCTATTTATTGTCTCCATTTTACAGATGGGGAAAGTGAAGTGCATTGACATTAAGTAACTTGTCTGTAGCCACATGCTGGCAGGCATGATGTGTTTTAATGAGGGCTAAATCATCTAACAAATGGAAAGAATAAAGGACTTGCACAGTTCTGGGCACATGGAGGGAAGGGGGAGATGGGCAGAGTCCCCTCCCTCAGGTTCTCCTGCTCATTAGCTGCTGGGCCTTGGAAACAGGTTAAAATACTCCTGCCTCAGTTTCCTCATTTGTTGAATGAAGGGTTTGGAGGAAATTATCGTCAAATAAGCTCCCTGAAAATGGAATCATCTCATTCCGTATCTTTAGGGAATCCCGTGGCCCCTTCCCTTGCCAGAGATTTCCCTGTGGGGGGCTCCTGTCTCCTCAGACCATTCCGGTCCCACTGAAAGCCAGGCTGGCCGTTAGCCGTGTGGGGTTGACCGTCCCTGCTGTGTGTTGCAGATGGTGGAGTTCATGCAGCGCTGCGCGGCGCACATGCAGGCCATCATCCAGGGCTTCTCTGACCTCCTGAAGAAGATTGACTCCCCTCAGCAGCTCATTAGTGGCCTGCCCCGGTTTGGAGGCCTCATGCAGGGGTGAGTGCTGCCGCAAGCAGAGTCAGATGTTCTGCATCACCCAGCGTTCCCTGTGGGGGCCCTGCAGCCTGGGCCACCTCGGTCCCCCCACACTAGTTCCTTCCAGCACCTGCCCACCCAAAGGGGTGAGCTTCAAGGGAGAGGATGTGGCCTCTGAAAACCATCAGTGTGCCATCCACTCCCGCTCCCCGCTTCCAGGAATGTTGGGGGAAACGAGTTCTGGGCTCCACTGGGGAGCACCATATGGTTAGCAGGGAAGGAAGGAACTTTTCAGCTCAGGGCTGCCCAGCAGAAAACCCTTTCTCAGCAGAACAACTGGCTAGCTTTTTTTTTGGTCATCTCAGAATCATGGAAAGCATGTTCCTTTATCAGTAAGGTTGCAGAAGACCACAAATGCTTAATTTAAGGTTCCTCAGGCTGTTTTAAGCTGGCCTAAGACTTGCTGCCACCTGGGTGGGCAGCCTCCCCAGCCCCCATCACAGCTGCAGGAGGTGGGCTCCATCCAGGCTTCTCTTCATGCTCAGGAGAGTTATTTGAAGTTTTCTCGGCTTTATTGACTTAGGATTTATATGTGGAAAATTGTGTCCATGTGACTTTCTCTGATGGCATCTTTATCTGTAATTGGGGTGGCTAGACTCGTCTCACCCTTCACAGGCTCCCGCATCTCATTCTTTGCACATCAAGTCCTGGTTTTCTTCTCATGACCTGGGTGCTTTTCATGAGAGATAAGTTTGTGATTCCCTTAAGGACCAGTTACTCCTGACTGCTCTCCTTGCTGCCACTCTTGCCCATCTTGGTTCTTTACTCAGCGTGGAGAATGACCTCTTAAAAATGAAATCTGAATTGTGCCACTCAGTACTAAAAACCCTTTTAGGGTCTTCCCAGGGCTATCAGGTTTAAGCACCTGAACCCCTCATCCGGCCTTGGAGCCCCTACTTGGTTCAGGTCTTCCACCGCCTCTCCTGCCAGAGTTAGGATCTTGGCAAACTGAATTTCTTGTGACAGAGCCGAAGCCTAGTCCCTGCTGCTGTTTTGTGACCTCAGGCCAGCAGGTTTCCCCTTTCTGGCTCTATTTTTTCCCGTCTGTAACATGAGAAAGTTGGACAAGATACTCTTTATGATTCGTTCCAACTTTGACCATCTGTATTCGTTATCTGTCGCACTAAGCCCAAACTTAGTGGCTGCAAACAACAGTAAATATCTCACAGTTTTCGTAGGTCAGGGATCAGGGGGTGGCTCAGCTGGGTGGCTCTGGCTCAGGGCATCTCACGATGATGTGGTCGAGATGCAGCGTGGGCTGCAGTGTTCCGGGACTGCAGGGTCCAGTTCCAGGAGGATCATTCGCACGGCTGGCAGACTGGTGCTGGGTGTTGGTCACCCCTGTGAGGCTGCTGGAGCACCCTCACGACATGGCAGCTGGCCTTCTCCAGAGCACGGGCTGCAGGAGAGATCAGGGCAGAAGCCCTGGGGGCCTGGCTTTGGTACTCACACCACGCGGTCGTTTCCGCAGCATCCTGCTGGGCAAACAGGCCAGCCCTCTCTGACCTGTGCATGGCTACACAAGGGCGCGGACACCAGGAAATGGGTACCACAGGGTCCTTTCAGATGGCTGGCTGTTAAGTGGTAACAATGAAACCCAACTACACATGCTGACAGCTTGGTTCAGCGTTGCTCCTCTGGGTATGGTTCCTCCTTACTTTCCCCTCCTCTTTTCAATATTTAGAAACCCTAACGGCTCTCCTAACCGACCGCTGAAGGCTGGAGTCATTTCTGCCCAAAATATCTACAGCTTTGGCTTTGGAAAGGTAAGAGGTTGCCACCAGCAGGCACTGTTTGCGGGACTCACTGGGGAATTTCCTGGCCCCGGCTCTGGCCTCAGGCCCCACAACTTCATCCAACACGGCCTCCCACGTCCTCCCACGTCCTCCCCAAAGTGTTCTCTTCTTTACTGCTTTTGCAGGACAAGTACCTCTCAGTGTTTCTGTCCTTACTGAAAAATGATGAAAGCCCCGGAGAGTTCTTTTGAATGACTCTGGGCTAGATTCAGGGAGTTCTAGGAACTGAACCCTTAATTCCCAGTGAAGGCCCCAGACATGTTCTGTGGGGGCCTCATGGGATCCCTGAGGCCTGGTGCTTCCTGTAGGCGTCTGACCTCTTTCTGTGAGCTTCATTCTCCTCACCAGCAAGAGGGAAAGAGTATCACAGCCTTGCAGGGTTTCTTGGAAGATTAAAGGTAATAAAAAGAATTATACCCAGTGCATAGGGGTATCCAGCAAATTGGTAAATAGCAGCTACCTTTATTTTTAGCTGGCTGACAAGATTCTGAACGTAGTTAAGTTTTTCCCTTTTCTCCCTCTATTTGAAACTCTGCTTTGCTTTCAGTTTTATCTCACAGGAGGCACACAGCTGGCCTATCTAGGATCTCTTCCAGTAATTGGAGAAAAGGAAGTGATTCAAGCTGACGATGAGCCCACCTTCTCTTTCTTCAGTGGCCCCTACATGGTCATGACCAAGTAAGCAGAAGTTGGCCGGTGGAAGTCGGATTTAGTCCCACAGGAAGAATAGACTTTGTGTGACTTCCCTGTATGGGGAGGGTTTCTGCCTGAACACAGGGACATACTGAAATGCAAATGTCTCCATCAGGATTTCTCAATTTGTACACCATTGACATTTTTTGTTCCCCTGTGTTGTTGGGGGTGGTCCTGTGCATCGTAGGATGTTTGGGAGTGTCCCTGGTTTCTCCTCACTAGATTCCAGTAGCAGCTCTGTCCGCACCCCCAACCCCCTGCATTTATGATCGTGACAACCAGAATGTCTACAGTCAAGGCCAAATGGCCCCTTGTTGAGAACGACTGCTCTGAAAGATTACTTATAACAGTGTTTCAACCTCTCTGCTCTCTAGAGAATTAGAGGCAGCATAGTGGTGACTGGCCTCTGATACAGGTCAAAGGCACTGAAGCCCCACAGGCATCATCAGCTAATGGCTCTCACCAGCCGATGCAACAGAGATGGCAGTAATAAGATCTGACTCTGACATAAGTCCCTGGGATGGGCTCAGTCTCCAGCGACCAGCGTCCTACAGGATCACCTGAGTTGTCCTGCCCAAGGTCTCTTGTCCTCCTTGAACCTGGCTGCTTCTTCCCTGGTTAGCAGTCACACCCATCTGAGAAGGCCTCTGCAGACTGGCTCTGTGTCTCATGCAGATGTGCTTCTTGTTTTCCTGCCTGAGCCACGGATTTGTCACGTCCTCTCTTCTTCCGTCCATCTTATGTCCCTCCCCAGACCAGCCTCCCAACTGGCCTCTCATTCTCCAGACACCCCTGCCCATCACTCCCCACACAGCTGGTGCCCTGGTCTTTGTAACATGAAGACCTGATCAAGTCACTGCCTCCCTTAAATCCCTCCCTCCCTTAAATCCTGCCACCTGTACTAAGTGATTTCCTGCCACCTGTACTAAGTCCCTGAAGTGCTTTAGGCCGTGCGGGTAGGAGTGGGGAGGACACATGCTGCAAGGGCGTGTCGTGGGGGTGGGGGGAGCTGTACAGAATCTGTGTGAACACTATTCCTCTGATCACGTGTCTGCAGAAGTGGCTGTTCACTCCCTCCTGCTCACACCCCGTTCTGCCCACACTCTCTCCTGCCCCGGCAGCCTGGTGTGGAATGGGAGCAGGGTCACGGTGAAGGAGCTGCACCTCCCCACCCACCCTCACTGCAGCAGGCTGCGGCTGGCTGACCTGTTAATCGCCGAGCAAGAGCACAGCAGGTGAGAAAGAAAACCCAGGAGCATCTCAGACCCAAGTCCAGGGCTGTGTAGGGCTGTACCTGAGGGTGGAGACCAGCCTCCTCAGCCTCAGCATTTCCTTCTGGTGGCTTGATTTCACTTTCCAGGGCTGCCAAGAAGGAAAAAGAAGCATTCTTGAATAGCCTGAGTGCTGAGGATGGTGGTAGTGAGGGGCTCAATTCTGTCCGCTAATAGACTCCCTGCATGTCTCTGAGGTCCAGCCTGAGGCCTGGCTGGCTCATCTGCAGCCCTCAAAGCCCACCATCAGGACTGCGTGCGCTGTCTCTCCTTGGAAGACATGCCCATGGGTCTCAGTACCTTAGGTTTCCTGTGGCTCAGGGGTTAGTCTTTCAGGTTCCTCAGGTCTTGCTGGGGCAGGAACTTCATCCTTGGTTGCATACCAGCACTGCTGAGGCCTTGGAATGGTCCCTGCCTCATCAAGTTCACTCAACTCCTATAAAGCCAAACCCTTCCTTTTGGGAAAGTCAGCCTAAAGGGACTCAAGGAGGCTGGAGAGGCTCATAGACATAGTGTGGATTCTGATGTGAGGCTGGGTGGGAGGTGTGACCTTGGGCCTGACCTCTCCCTGGCCTTTGCTTCCTGATCTCTATGAGTGTAACTGTAATGGCACCTTTCCTGTAGCTGGTTATTAGGATCAAGGTGATGTATGTCAGGGCCCTTGCTTAGTAGCTCTTAGTGACATTGTCATTGACGACCCTAAGCCTTCAGGTTCTGATCAGTGAAAAGCCAAGAATTCCATGAACAGAGAACTCGACCCCTACCCCATCCCGCTTTCTTAGCAGAACATTGTGTGTAAATAGAATTTGTTTGAAATGTGTTCAGGGAGCCCAGAAGAAAGGAAAGCACCCATTGTTTCATCCTGTCCTCTTTCCCTCTGCCTTACCTGGGGCTTCTTTGCCTCTGCAGCAAGTTGCGGCACCCCCACTTGCTGCAGCTGATGGCTGTGTGCCTGTCCCCAGACCTGGAGAAGACCCGCCTCGTGTACGAGCGCATCACGGTGGGCACACTGTTCAGTGTCCTCCACGAACGGGTAAATGACTGTTTCCCTGCATTTCCCCCTTGCTGCCTTTCCCCGCCACTCCGACTCTCCTTTCCCTTCCTCTCTCTTCTTTGCCCCCAGCAGCAGAGTTCCCATCTGTGCATGCATAGAAGAGAAATCTCTTAATTCTTTATTCAGAGGGGTGCTATATAATGCACCGTTTAAAGCTAATCAGCACATTGGAACTAGTGTGATTTTGTTATTGTTAGTCTGTCTTTTTTAATCACACATCTGAGAGCTCAGTAGACCCAGAAAACACACAGCCACACTTTTAACTAACAATAGCCAAACAGTCTCTGGCCTTATTTCCTGTCATTTTCACTTGTGCCCTATCGCAGGGGCCCTCAGCCTCCCAGATCTAATGCCTGATGATCTAAGATGGCACTGATGTAATAATAATAGAAATAAAGTGCACGATAAATGTAATGTGCTTGAATCATCTGGAAACTTTACCTCCCCCGCCCCCATCCATGGAAAAATTGTCTTCCACAAAACTGGTCCCTGGTGCCAAAAAGGTTGGGGACCGCTGCCCTTTGGGACCTTTATATGCAAGGCCTTGTCTGTCCCTTCCTGCTTTCCTGATTTGCTGGTGGAGGGTATGGGGCACACAGACTGCTTGGGAGCTTGCTTTGGCCTGAAATTTGACTTCCAAGAGGTCCTGAAAGATTGTTTTTTCTTTCTCCATGGCTTTGTTTTGAAGACCCTGGGCTGGAATGAAAAGAGAGCCTGCGGGAAGGGCCTTTCCCTGAAATGGCTCACCCCTCCTCCTGCCCGGGCACCGCCTCTCAGTGTTATAGCTCCCTTTCCTCTCCTCGGGGGAGGGCATTGACTTTAAATGCCACTTCTGGGGAGAGAAGAGAGAAGTTGTGACTGGGTGTGTTAGTGGGAGGGAACTTCTGTCCTCCTGGAGTGAAGTTTCTGGGTCCTCTGACCGCAGTGGGGGCTGGATTGTCCTTTATGATCAGGTTCTCCCGCAGCACAGGCTTGGCTTTGCCAGTGGCGGTGGGGCCCACACTGGAGGTGTGGACCAGGTTCGAGGACGTCTCTCCTCATTTTCTTCGTAACATCAAGCAGCTTGGCTAAGGGAGAGGAACCCATGTTTGGAGTCGGGGGCCTGAGTCAGTGGGACCTCAGGCCGGTCACTTAACCTCACTGGATTTTAGGTTCCCCACCATGACACCAGGTGGCTGTCATGAAGGTCAATGCAAAAGACTTTGGAAACTGTGAAGCATTCTGTGGCTTCACAACAGCCCAAGTATCTCTCAGTCACCTTGCCATGCAGTGTATGTGTTGGGAAGGGGTGGCATTCACGGTGCTCTGCGTTCCTCCCTTCCGGGGTGCCGCTGCCCCCCAGGCCTCCGCCTCCCACTGTGGCCTCCGCATTGCTGGTCAGACTTTGTTCTTGCTTGCAGCGGGCCCAGTTCCCCGTGTTGCACATGGAGGTGATCGTGCACCTGCTGCTCCAGATCTCCGATGCCCTGAGATACCTGCATTCCCGGGGCTTTATCCACCGTTCCCTCAGCTCCTATGCCATCCACATTGTCTCCACGGGGGAAGCGAGGCTGACCAACCTGGAGTACATGATGGAAAGGTAGGTGCACCTCGATCATGACTTCCAAACAGGGTCTCCCCAGGGCAGGTGCTTTGCTGTAGAGAGAGAATCTGATCTGGGTAGGATCCCTCATTGGTGGGCTGAACTGCCTTATCAATGGAGGAAGAGGTTTCCCAATGTCTTCCCCTGTCAGCCAAGGTTAGAGGGACTCTGGGGAAGTTACTTCTGTTCATTATAATAAACACTTAACAAGCGTGAGCACATGTTGGCCAGACTGTAAGTTTTCAAAATTTTCTGTGGCTTCACACAGCCCAAGTATCTCTCACTCACTTTGCCATGCAGTGTGTGTGTGTCGGGAAGGGGTGGCGTTCACCGTGCTCTGTGTTCCTCCCTTCCGGGGCTCCGCTGCCGCCCAGGCCTCCGCCTCCCATTGTGTCCTCCGCATTGCTGGTCAGCGAGAAAGAGCAAGCCTGGAGGGACGCGTGGCAGGGTTTAGGGACTGCCGGAAGTGGGTGTATCATTACTTCCCACTTTACAGTGCCCAGCGCCCAGTCACCTCTTCCCTGCAGGCAGGCTGGGAAATGCACCACAGCTGCGCATCCTGGAAGATGTGAGAAGGCAGTGGGTGCTGGTAAGCCTTGCTGGTGAGCCTTATGATCCTGACGTGAGTGAGCGGGGCTCAGTGCAGGGAGGGAAGTCGTGATGAAAACGTCATCCTTACTCCAGGTTTGGGGGATGGACTTGATTTCCCATTTGGCAGAAGTCAGAGTCCTCTCCTTCCAGTTCTGGGGGGCAGAGGATCTACCCTGTGTTTCCTTGCTGTCCTCCACAGCTCTGAGCCCTGGGCCCAGGGCTGCCCCGGTACAGCTGTGAGGCCTGAGCCACGGGCAGACCCCTGGCTGAGACCTGCTTACCTCCGCTGAGCCTGGTCCTCACCCACCACCATCCCAGAGGCTTTATTTCTGAGTCTCTGGCAGGTCTTACATGCATACCTTCTAAGTCACTTCAGTCATGTCCAGCTTTTTGCAACCCTATGGACTGTTGCCTGCCAGACACCTCTGTGTATGGGATTTTCCAGGCAAGAATGCTGGAGGGGGTTGCCATGCCCTCCTCCAGGGGTTCTGGCGCAGGGATCGAACCCTCATCCCTTATGTCTCCTGCATTGGCAGGCGAGTTCTTTACCATTAGTGCCACCTGGGAAACCCCTGGCGGGTCTTACATCTCATAATTTACTTCTTAGAAAAGCCCTATGAGGACAGGGATTTCTGTTTTATCTGCTGCCATATCTCAGATACCTAGAGCAGGCCTCCACACAGTGGGAGCTCAGCATGTTCTTTATTTTTTTAATTAAAAAAATTTTTTTAAACACTATTTATTTATTTGGCTGCGCTGGGTCTCAGTTGCAGCACACAGGATCTTTAGTCATGACATGCGGGATCTTTAGTTGCAGCATGTGGGATCTAGTTCTCTGAGCAGGGATCAAACCCGGGCCTCCTGCATTAGGAGCGTGGAGTCTTAGCCAGTGGACCACCAGGGAAATTCCTTTTTATTTTTAAAATTCTAATTTATTTATTTACAGACAATTTTATTTATTTATTTATGGCCATTCCACGCTATATGTGGAATCATAGTTCACTGACCGGGGATTGAAGCCAAACCCCCTGCATTGGCAGCGTGGAGTCTTAACCACTGGACCACCAGGGAAGTTCCTCAACATGTTTTTTAAATGAATGAAGTGGGAAGGCTATCACCTCCCTGGGCCTTGTGTGCCCCTTGTCTCTTTGTCTGGAGAGGAGAGCACGGGTTAGATTGGGCTTCCCCTTGTGGGCCTTCGCAAAGAGTTTGAATTTAATCTTTAAAACACTGGGATACTGTGAAGGATTTTTTTTTTTTAGCAGAATGATGTTCTGGCTGATTTACAGGTTAAGAAGCTCCTCCTCGCTCTTGCATGGAGACGGGCAGTGATGGGAGGAGAGAGCAGTAGGGAGAAGTTAGCTGTGACTGGAGCCGTTTTCTGTTGGAAACCGGTGGAGGCCAGATAGCTCTCCCCGGTTGAGCTGCTCAGTCTCAGACCTGGTCAATTCTCAATCCCAGTGTTTCCCTCTGCCTACAAGATTAAGGCCCTACACTTTGTAGAGTGGGAAGGCTTCTGCGGTGGGGGCTCCGCCCGCAGTGTCATGCTCATCACTTACCACTCTGCCTGGCCGTCTGAGAACACTTGCAGGCCATGCCATTTCTCAGGGCTGCTTCTCACGCCTGGAGTACCTGGTGCTCCCGTTTATCCTTTTAAACTTATTTCTGACACCATCTTCCATCACACCCCATGAAGCCTATACTGAAGCCCTTTCCCCAAATCACCTAGCATGCTTCACTGCCCAGCAGTCAAGTGTTGGCCCCTCCGAATGGTGAGCTCCAAGAGGGCAGGAACCATGCTAGGTTCATCTCTACCGCCCAGCTCAGCGCCTGCCACATAGCAGTAAGTGCTCTGGAAGCATTTGAAGTGAATCCTTGAAGTGATTCAGAGCAAGGTTTACCACTTGGGCTATGTGTTCAAGAGCTAAAGGTTTTGGACATTTTTCCTGTTGATAATAGACTTTTCAAGAAGGTTGACAAAACCCAAGCTGTTTGCCAGTGATGCAGCGCCACCTGTTGTTCGCATGGAGGTGTAACAGTTTCTTTGACGCGCTCTCCAATAGAAATGTGCATCCTAGAGTAAAATGGGGATTTGGAGATGGCCAGCCTCAACCCTGGGCTTCCCTGGTGGCTCAGACAGGAAAGAATCTGCCTGCATTGCAGGAGACCCGGGTTCTGTCCCTGGCTCAGGAAGATCCCCTGGAGAAGGGAATGGCAATCCACTCCAGTGTTCTTGCCTGGGAAAGCCCATGGACAGAAGAGCCTGATGGGCTACAGTCTATGGGGTCGCAAAGAGTCAGACATGACTTAGCAACTAAATAACAACAACATTCGTATTAATTCCTTACTTGCTTAGTGCTTTATGGCTCACAGAGAGTTTCCACACATGTGATCTCATTTGATGCTCATGACAGCTGTGTGCAGAAGTCAGCGCTGATTTCATCCTGAGGACTTTTGGCCCAGAGGACATTTAGGACACTCTGACTTAGTTCCCAAGGAGCCAGGTTGCCAAGTTGAGTTATTCAAGCAAATCAGTGAAACTTTGAGTACTAAACTAAGAGGGCTGATTTCCAAGAGGGCAGAGCTCAGAAAAGAAGCAATCATAAAGAGTTGGAAGAGTCCCAGAAGGCTTTGAGGGAGGCTGGAAGGGGTTCTTGAAAAAGTCTTAGGTTCATTTATTCAAAAGTAAGCATTGAGGCCTTGGTGTAAGTTTAGAGTTCTGATGATATAAGAGATAAGAAGCCTGCCTCAAAAAAAAAAAAAAAAAAGAAGCCTGCCTCATGGAGCAGATAATCAGTTCAGTTCAGTCGCTCAGTCGTGTCTGACTCTTTGCAACCCCATGATTTGCAGCACGCCAGGCCTCCCTGTCCATCACAAACTCCCAGAGTTTACTCAGACTCATGCCCATCGAGTCGGTGATGCCATCCAGCCATCTCATCCTCTGTCGTCCCCTTCTCCTCCTTCCCCCAATCCCTCCCAGCATCAGGGTCTTTTCCAACGAGTCAGCTCTTCGCCTGAGGTGGCCAAAGTATTGGAGTTTCAGCTTCAGCATCAGTCCTTCCAATGAACACCTAGGACTGATCTCCTTCAGGATGGACTGGTTGGATCTCCTTGTAGTCCAAGGGACTCTCAAGAGTCTTCTCCAACATCACAGTTCAAAAGCATAAATTTTTCAGCGCTCAGCTTTCTTCACAGTCCAACTCTCACATCCATACATGACCACTGGAAAAACCATAGCCTTGACCAGATGGACCTTTGTTGGCAAAGTAATGTCTCTGCTTTTTAATATGCTATCTAGGTTGGTCATAACTTTCCTTCCAAGGAGTAAGTGTCTTTTAATTTCATGGCTGCAGTCACCATCTGCAGTGATTTTGGAGCCCAAAAAAATAAAGTCTGACACTGTTTCCACTGTTTCCCCATCTATTTCCCATGAGGTGATGGGACCAGATGCCATGATCTTAGTTTTCTGAATGTTGAGCTTTAAGCCAACTTTTTCACTCTCCTCTTTCACGTTCATCAAGAGGCTTTTTAGTTCCTCTTCACTCTCTGCCATAAGGGTGGTGTCATCTGCATATCTGATGTTATTGATATTTCTCCCGGCAGTGTTGATTCCAGCTTGTGCTTCTTCCAGCCCAGCGTTTCCCATGATGTACTCTGCATATAAGTTAAATAAGCAGGGTGACAATATACAGCCTTGACGTACTCCTTTTCCTATTTGGAACCAGTCTGTTGTTGCATGTTCAGTTCTAACTGTTGCTTCCTGACTTGCATACAGGTTTCTCAAGAGGCAGGTCAGGTTGTCTGGTATTCCCATCTCCTTCAGAATTTTCCACAGTTTATTGTGATCCACACAGTTGAAGGCTTTGGCGTAGTCAATAAAGCAGAAATAGGTGTTTTTCTGGAACTCTCTTGGTTTTTCGATGATCCAGCGGATATTGGCAATTTGATCTCTGATTCCTCTGCCTTTTCTAAAACCAGCTTGAACATCTGGAAGTTCTCGGTTCACGTATTGCTGAAGCCTGGCTTGGAGAATTTTGAGCATTGCCTTACTAGCGTGTGAGATGAGTGCAATTGTGCGGTAGTTTGAGCATTCTTTGGGATTGCCTTTCTTAGGGATAGCAGATAATAAATAATAAACCAATGAACAAGAAATTCAGATAATAAATGCTCTGATGCCAATAAAGGTGTTCTGGTAAGTCCTCTCCGAGGAGGTGATTTTCAAGCTAATGTTTTAATTATAAGAAGCACGCAGTCATGCTAGAATCTGTGGGCAGAGCATGCTCTCAGAAGAAACCACCAGTGCAAAAACCTGAAGTGGTGATGTGTTTGGCACGTTGGAGAAGCTGCAAGAGGGCCCCTGTGACTTGCGGGGAGTGAGTGAGCAGGAGGGAGTGGCCAGCTGAGGTGCGAGGTGGGGCAGGGCCTGCTCAGGTAGCAACAGTAAGGAATCGCCGGCGTTGAAACGGCAGGCAGTGTGGGTTGGTTCAGGATCTAGCTGGGTTTCTAGAAGTTCAAGGAGGTTATCAGCAAGTGTTTGACTCATGTGCTGCGTGGTGATCACAGGGATCCTTTAAGGCATCAGCTCTGCCTTGCATTTCCTTCCGTAGCCAGGCTGGGGGTGCACACAGGGATCTCAGTCGAGTGCCGCTCCCCACCCAGCTGTACAGCTGGGCCGCCCCGGAGGTCATCTTACAGAAGGCGGCCACCGTGAAGTCGGACATCTACAGCTTTTCCGTGATCATACAGGAGATTTTAACAGGTGGGTCAGAGAGCACACTGTCAGTGACCGAAGCCCCTCTTCTTAGCTTGGGTACCCCCCCCCCCCCCCCGGCCGAAGAGTCACTTAGTGTTAGGAGAATGCAGGACACAGGGAAAAAAGACTTAAGGAAACCTCTTTGTGTTTATGCAAGATATGATCTCTCAGAAATCATTCTCTTTTAACCTGTTAAGATTCAGCAAAGCCCACCTATTGGCTTGTCAGTGGTAGTGCATTTAATCCAAGGAGAGTTTGTAAACTGAATATTGCAGTCAGTGCTTAGGGGTCTCTGCGAGGTGCCCCTTAAGAACCTGTTTTCTTTTTCTTTTTTAATTTTTATTGACGTATGGTTGATGTACAGTGTTGTGCCAATCTCTGCTGTAGGGCAGAGCGACTCAGTTACACACATGTGTGCAATTCTTTTTTAATGTTCTTCCCCATTATGGTTGATCACAGGATGTTGAGTGATGTAGTTTCTTGTGCTATACAGTAGGACCTTGTTGTTTATCCATTCCATTCTAAATGTAATAGTGTGCATTTACCAACCGCAAACTTCCAGTGCATCCCTCTCTTTCCCCTCTCCCCATTGGCAACCACAAGTTGTTCTCAATGTTAAGAACTTACAGATGAGGGGAAAGGATTGGCCTCTGAGAAGTAAATGGAAATCAAACACACCCAGGACCCATTGTATGTATAAGCAGTGTCACTTAAAAGAAACAGAAGCCCTTCCAAATGTACAGGACTCTGAGGTGAAGGTATACAGACCACATTCACTGATGGGGTGAGACTCAGCCCCATTTAGTAGTGTTTACAGCCTCAGAGGCAAAGCCTCACCTTCTGTGACACGAATGCATTGGGCAGGCCAACCTGACACCAGGAAACATTCCCTTGTGGTCCCCAGGTTTGCCGGCCAGAAGTCTATACCTACAGGGGTCTGACACTGCTCTTTCCTGTCTCTGTGACAGGGATTTCCCTGTTATTTGGGTCAGATGGTTTCTCCTTTGTTATTGAGCTTCCAGTAGTTTTTCTACAGAGAGAAATTAATTTTAAAGAGATTGAACAACTTGACAGAAGTTACCCAGTTGCATCTGATTTCTTAATGTTTCTTCTTCTGGCTTTTTCCTTAACAGACAACATACCCTGGGATGGCTTAGATGGCTCAGTCGTTAAAGAAACCATTGTCTTGGGAAATTATTTAGAAGCTGATGTCAGGCTTCCGAAACCTTACTATGATATTGTTAAGTCAGGCATCCAGGTCAAGCAGAAAGATAGAGCTATGAACCTTCAAGATATCCAGTATATTATGAAGAATGACTTAAAGGTAAGCTCTAAAGTTGTTAGGGGTCTATTTTTGCTTACCTATCTCAGGCTAGATTAGGGAGTTAAGAGACCAAGAAGAAGCTAGAGATCAAGTTGTAGGAAGTTTTGGAAATCCTCATTTCATGACACTCTTTCTGTGTTCCCAAGAAAAGCCTAACTGCCTGACTTGGTGAGGGCAGCAGGAAATTGCAGAGGGACGCTGGAGAGGGTCAGTGTAAAAGGGGCACCTGTAGGCACTAGTGTGATTCAGTGGATAGCAGCTTTAGTTACTTTAAAACAAATAATTTTGTTTCTTTATTTTTGGCCGTGCCAGGTCTTCCTTGCTGCACAGGCTCTTTCTCTAGTTGTGGGGAGTGGGGCTACTCTGTGGTTGTGATGCGCCAGCTCTCACGGTGATGGCCTCTCTCGTTGCAGAGATGGGATCTCTGTGTGTGGGCTTCAGTAGTTGCAGCTCCCAGGCTCTAGAGCGCAGGCTCAGAAGGTGCGGTGCAGGGGCTTCGTTGCTCCATGGCACATGGGATCTTTCCAGATCAGAGACTGAATCCGTGTCTCCTACATTGGTAGGTGGATTCTTTACCACTGAGCCACCAGTGAAGCCTCTGTTATCACTTTTCAAAGAATTGGTAATTACAGTGAGTTCATTTATGAGAACTACAGTGAGTCTACCCAACAGGAGTAATAGGGAGTTTATCTGACACCTAGATATGTTTCTAAAACACCAGTGATATTCAGATGATTGCAAATATGTCCTTGACAGTATTTCCCTTGTTACAGGATTTTATTGGAGCCCAGAGAACTCAGCCAACTGAGAGTCCCAGGGTGCAGAGATACGAATTTCATCCTGATGTCAATGTCTATCTAGGACTAACTTCAGAACATCCAAAAGAGACCCCTAACTTGGAAATAAAAGAGCTGAAGGAGACAGGTATGGCCTTAACTCAAGGTTTTGACATAACTGGGTTTTGAGAGCTGCAACTAATCAACTCCTCCAAATTATACCCGTAACTTATACTGGGAAAGATGACTGCCTTAGGAAAAAAAATCAAGATCCTTAAAATTAAGTTAAACTTTATGGGCTCCATATACACCTTGTCCAGAAGTGGGCAGTAACAATCTATTTCTTTCTAGTATGACTTAGGAATGTATTCAATCATTTCATAAGTAAACATGGTGATTTTTAAAATTATTATCTGTTTATTGTTGCCCTAAAGGTCTGGGAGCGAGCAATAAGAATAAAAGCAGAACACAAAATCTGGTGCAATGGATCAGGGGACCTGCAGCCTCTACTGGACTGAGGTGCAGGAGTCCACTCTGAGTCCAGCTGTTATTCCTGATTGCAGACTACAAAACTTTCTCTGATCCGTCTTTCCCAAGACGCTACATTGACATAGTCCAGATCTCCTTGTTTTGACCCCAGGCCATTCGTTCCCTTGTGGGATAGTCTTGGGAACAGTTAGCAAGTGTGTAGGCAGTGTTCATACCTAACGCCGACCCGCTGTTCCAAGGTCCGTGCTTTTATGACCCCAGTCATACTCCCTTCTGGGTCTGGCCTTGGGGTCTGTAAGAAGGCTGTTATTCTCAGAAAAGCATGAAAAATGTTTTTCATCATTGTTGATACATCATCAACACAGTTTCTTGATATATGCTATTTTCCCAGGTGCTATTTCTATGAAATTTCTCAAGGCTTTGAGTGTACATTATTAGAAATTCCCACTACATCTCCCCTTTTTGTTTTTGCAGGAGTAGATACACTGTCCGAGTAACTTCTTTCTTCATCATTTCTTGATGATTTCTCTCATGTATCTAAGGACTAGACACAAAACAGTTAGAAATATGCATCTTGATATTATAGTACCAAGCGATCCTCCTAAAGTTTTAATCCACATCATGGGGTTAAGTTTATGTAAGCTTTCCTCAACTTCTTTAAAGAAATCAGTTTCTGGGAGTTATTGTAAGTGAACATTCTGCATATTAGAAATAGTAGCCTGTAATTGGGAAATATCTAAGGATAGATTATTATGAATGTGTTCTCGCAAATGTTTAATTATCCCAAGTATATGCACTTTGATCATATTTATGAGGTGTGACACAAAATGAAGAGATATTCCAATCACACTTAAGATGAATTTGTAATTTCAAATCTTGTATCTCGTCCCCTAGAAGGAGAACTGCATTTTCTAAACCAGTCAATCATTCATTACTTTCTTGGTCTGTATGGGTCTGACTTCCCCAGGCAGAACTTGCATTTTGGTGCCACTACTGTACAAATGTAGTCGTTTGTATAGTTTGATGCAGTGAAACCCCGGCTACTGCTGCGGTCGTGGATGTCCCACGACAGCAGTAATTCCCACAATAGCTGTTATAAGGAGTCCAATAAACCTTTCGGAACGTTGCAGTACTTTATTTATAACCTTTAAAAGAGCATGTATTTCAGGGGAGCCTTCCCATGGTCTGGTTTGATTTCCTGGAAGCTATATTTCCAGTCTCCATCATAATATAACAAATGAGTGATTAGAATTATAAAGTGAAGAATTCAAGCAAGTATATAATTTGTAATCCTGGCAAGAAAGTTCTTGTACACTTTCATTGATAGAAATTGTTCCTTTCAAGAGTACATAATGATCTCTCACACAAGCCTGAATATAAAATGCCAAGTTTGTACTGGTGTTAAATGTCAGTGAATAATTAGTTTTATCGGAATAATGTCCATCCCAAATTTGTAATTTTCTAAGACTTAGAGCCAATTTCCAAATCTCTCCTTGCCCTCTCCCTTGATCCAGTTGTGAAAAGGAAGGTAACATGCCACTACCATATCATATAATTGGCTGATCTGAATGAGTGATAATATTAGTATGGTCAAAGACTTTATACACCTGCCAATGCAGCCTTTTGTGAGGATTGCAGGACTGATTTTGATGAGAGCAATTAGAGACTGCATACCCCTTCGGGGACCAGTCCCATACAATTACATAGGAACCATTAATCAAAATTACTTCCCCTGTCATGTGGCAATTATCCCACTGAATGCGATGTTGTATTTCAGTCCACAGCTTGCGATGTTCACATAAAGGTCTGTCTGCTTTGGTGTCATTATTGGATTCTGAGTCGTTACAAGCAAAACTCAGACCAGAGAGAAGATATAGTTGAACCTTAGTATAGTTATTATTTAAAGAATTAGTGAACTGCCAGGCTTGCATAGATAATTTAAGACATCCTGTACCTGGTCCTACACAAATTGGTCAGGATTCATACCCATGAGTAACACTGAAGGGAGTCTCTTTCTCTTTTTAAACAAAAGGAAGGCGTGTATCTTCAGGTCCTGGTATCCAGGAAGAATCATTAACATAAATGGGAATCATAGAATCCCCCCAATCAATGGGTTTTAGTAATGGGGGAATTTGTATATATGCCCAATAAGTATAATTCTTTGCTTCTGCCGAAACCAAGCATATACTCACTGCAATAGTTATCGGGGCAAACATAACCATGATGAGGTTGTCTGGAGTCACTGGTGGTTTCTGCTCAGTTTGACTCTACCAGCTGGAATCCACACAGGTTCTAGACCTTCTCCTGGGGAGATACAAGCAAACCCTCTTTCCCATGTAATTAACTTTCTCGGTGACCAAGCATTTGTTAGTGGATCTTGCCACCAAATCACAGGCTTAGTTGGATTTGTGGATGTAGCCTAAAAATGTCACTCAGCTGTAGTTTCCGTAGTTTGTGTCAAAATATTCAAAAACTGAGATTAAATAAAGCTTTAATCAATATTGTTTATTGTCCTATAGCATTTCCCCCTTTTTGTTTTTGTATTGCATGTTTAAGCGATTGATTAGCCCTTTCCATTATGGCCTGTCTTTGTGGGTTATCAGGAATGTCAGTAGAATGTTTTATAGATCAAATTTTAAGAAATTGTTGGAGTGTTCTACTGGTATAAGCAGGGCCGTTATCAGTTTTTATAGTTTTTGGTAGTTTTATAGCAGCAAAAAATGCATATTAATGTCTTTGTATGTGTTTTGTAGTCTCACTGGAGTGAGCAGTGGCCCATATAAATTGAGAGAATATATCAATGGTCATATGTACATAAGAGAGTTTACCAAAGGAAGATATGAGTTACATACATTATAACTATGGATTTTATATGGAACTGTATACCATCATTATATCAGTGGCTCAGTCACACATTTGATAATGTAAGGGACAACATTTCTTGAAATAAGCACTATAGAAAACAGTATAGTTAGCAGTAATAGTAAAATCATAAGAAAGAATTTAAGTCAAGAACTTTTATTAGGTATAGCCCAGTGACGTCCTTAAGTCATCTGACTTAGTTTGTTAAATGACTATAGCTTGTTGTTAATTTCCTGGTTGTAGATCCTGGAGCATCTGATCTTTATTTAAAGACTAATTACCGAGATAAGTTTTCGAAACAAATTTAGAGGGTCATTTTTAATGAAGTACCTTTTAAATTTAACTTAACGAATTTTGTCTTTTAAAATTTAACTTAATGAAGCCTCTTAGCAATGTAACATAACCATAAGGAATTATCTAAGAAGTGAGTCTTAGTAAATACAAATCTTAATTAACAAAACTAGAACTTAAGATTCAGTGAAACATTAGATGTCATAGGCCTGACATCAGTTAGGTGGACATCTCTTTTAGAGCTCCCCAGTATACTCTTGAGATTTTTGTATATGTCTGGAGACAGTCTTTTTTTTTTTTTTTTTAACCTTGATGAGGCTGCTCAGAACCCAAATGTTTTTAATTTCTGGAGGGATGTGAGAGAGAAAAGAAAAATCTTTTAATTTTATCCACAGGTGTAAATCACTAAATTGTTTTAAACCATCAGTGACTTTTTACATCTGAAAACAAAGATTAGAAGCCAGTAATAAATCAGACAAAAAAGTCGTGAAAACTGTCGTCATGTTTAGCAGTCTGTTCAATCTCATGTAACCAATCCCTTTGTTTTGTGGTCCTTGCCTGATGACTAAGGATGTCAGTAAAAACAATAGTCTCCAAGAAGTTTCAGAGAAGGCAGTGGCACCCACTCCAGTGTTCTTGCCTGGAAAATCCCGTGGACGGAGGAGCCTGGTGGGCTGCTGTCTACGGGGTCGCACAGAGTCAGACACGACTGAAGCGACATAGCAGCAGCAGCAGCCAAGAAGTTTGTGAAGTTTTTTGTTAATGTCTGTACTACCTGTCCAGCAAAATGGGTGTCCCAATCACTGGAGATCTCAGAAAATGTATTTTAAGCTTTTTTTTTTTTTTTTTGGTGAGATAATTAACCCCACAGCCAGGAAAGGCTTTATCTTATCAAATAAAAGTGAGGTTTGTCAGGGAGCTGGGAAAAGCCAAGTGGCTGTCTTGGACTTCCCATAGCCCTGACTGGTTTATAGCCATTATTTATCCATTTTAAATTTCCTTATAAGGGGTTAATTTTGTGGAAGCAGCATGAGCTTTGTCTATGTGTGTCATAGTTTCCATAGATCATTGTGAAATAACACTCATTCATTTTATCAAAGTAACAAAAGCTTTTAAAAGCGAAGTATGAATCACTTAAAGACAAAGACATTTATATAGTCTGTTACCAAACAAGCCATATTCCAAGAAGACTTTGATTTTTAACAGGAAGAGACAAATTCCAGATTGGTACCATCTTATATTCATTGGACTTCCCTGGTGGCTCAGAGGTTAAAGCGTCTGCCTGCAATGCGGGAGACCTGGGTTTGATCCCTAGGTCGGGAAGATCCCCTGGAGAAGAAAGTGGCAACCCACTCCAGTGTTCTTGCCTGGAGAATCCCATGGACAGAGGAGTCTGGTAGGCTACAGTCCAAGGGGTCACAAAGAGTTGGACACGACTGAACGACTTCACTTTCACTATATTCATTGTGAAACAATAGTTATTCACTAGTCAGAGTAACAGTAAAAGATTTCAAAGGCAGTTTAATGTCTTAAGAAACCTGTATCATGCATAAAACTCTCTTCCACTTGCCACAAACCTTTTTTACACTTCTGTATTCATCACTGTATTTACCCATTCAGAGAACAGACACTTGTAAGTTCAGGTGTACTTCCTTTTTCCTTAATAGAAAGTAATTCCATTCCTTATACAATTTCACTAAAAACACACATCTTACTTTTCTTTAGCAACCATGAGCTGTCTTGTATATTAGCATTTTGTAGATTGGTGAACATAAATACCAGTTTTAATTTTTTAAAAACATTTGCTTTTTTTTTTATAGAGAACATCTCAGGATGGCACCTAACATATTTATTAATAGTCCAAAATCTCTTTAGTTTTTCTGTAAGAGGAAATTAGTGTTCAGTAATTAATGTTTTAAAAATCTTATTTTATTTGGAAGTGACCTAGCTATTTAATAAACTTTTACCATTTAGTAATTTATCATTTAGTTTAGAAATTTAAGTCAACCCAATCCTCAGAGATTATTTTAGACGTTTCTAAAATATAATTATTTTTAATAGAGTTTATCTAGAAGTTTTCATCTCATTTATATATATTTATATATATAAAGAGTTACTTTTTTTGTTGACAAATTTAGTTTACCTTAAACCTAAAAGTATTATACAATGTTGATGACTTAAGACATGTCTTAATTAGATTAGCAAACAAACATTAATGTTAGATATTTAATATTGAATATTTTTCAGTTCAAATGAACCTGACTTTAAATAGAACTCATTTATAAATTAACCACATAGTATCCAAAAAACAAAGACACACACTGAGACACAGTTGAATTTAGAGAGACAGACAGAGATCTCACAGTTTTCTGCTTGAAATTTAAAATATCTTTTTGCTCCTTCTTTTTTTTTTTTTTCCCTTGGTTTGAGTTCTACCAATTTGTTTATGGCTGGAGTCCCAGACAGAGTGGGCTGTGTATCCCAAGGATATGATAAAAGTTAGCTTCAGGTTTTTTCCTCAGGCCTGTTTTTGTTTCCCAGGCAGAATTGGAGCTCCAAAAAAGTATTTTAACAAGTCAACTTTTTCCTAATTGCATGTGCAAGAAGAACCGGTTTTGCAGTTTCAAAAAAGATTTTATTTTAACCAGTTTTCTCCAGAATCTAAAGAATATCATGGCCATTCAGTGTCAAAAATGTCATCTCTCTTTTTTGTAGTCATAGTATATCATCCATATAATGAATGATACATGCATGAGAGGATTGCTGTTGCACTGGGTGTAAAGCCTTGGCTACAAAATTTTGACAAATAGTGGGACTGTTAAGCACACCTTGAGGTAATACAATCCATTGAAATCTTTTATGTGGCTCCTTTAAATTAATGGAAGGAACTGAAAAGGCAAATCTAGGCTGATCATCAGTGTGTAAAGGAATAGTAGAAAAACAATCTTTGAGATCAATAACAAACAATTGCCAATTTCTTGGAATCATACTAGGATTAGGTAGACCAGGTTGTAAAGCACCCATTGGAACAATAACAGCATTAACAGTTCTCAAATCAGTAAGCATTTTCCACTTACCAGACTTCTTCTGTATAATGAACACTGGAAAATCCCAAGGGGTAAAGGACTCAATGATATGTCCCTTGCTAAGTTGGTCATTAATTAATTTATGTAAAGCCTCCAACTTTTCTTGTTTTAGAGGCCACTGCTCTATCCACACAGGTTGATCAGTTTTCCAATTAAGAGATATAAGTGTGGGTGGAGGAAGATTAACACAACTACTGGCCACTAGTGAAAAAGCAGTTGGGGGGCGGGGTGGTGGTGCTTGAAATCTTGAGCCGTCAAAGGATAAATTCTTCCTTGTTGATTTTTGCCCAGTCTCAATCTTGGTATATAACCTTGATTGAATATAACTTGGTGACTGGTCTTGCTATATTGATTTGGAGGTTTTTCAAAAGAGTCATCATCACTTTCATCAAAAGAATCAGAAGTCTGCAAAGATTCCAGTACTGACTTATTCAGTGTCCATGTATTCCAAACAGATACAAGGAGAGAAGTTCCTTTTGTATGTTCTTTCTTCAACTCAGCTCCAACCTTTTCCCAAACTTTTAAATCTAAGGTCCCTATTGACAGGAACCAGCAGCAATATTTATCCACTGCTTGTAACAATTCTAATAATCGCCCTTCACTAATAGAAGCTCCTCCTGCTTTCAAGAGCTGTCTTAATAAACAAATATATGGGCAATAGTGTTCTGCATTCTCAACATTTCCCATTTTAACCCTGATTAAATGCCTGAGGACTTACCAGCGGGAATTCTCAGAGGTGTCTCAACCGTCCCAGGTTCTGCGTCGCTGTGTTTTCATTTTTGCTCCAGCCCCACGTTGTGCGCCAGTTGTTGCTGTAAAAGTCTGGGAGCGAGCAACGAGAATGAGAGCCGGACACGAAATCTGGTGCAATGGGTCAGGGGACCTGCAGCCTCTGTTGGACCGAGGTGCAGAGTCCACTCTGAGTCCAGCTGTTACTCCTGATTGCAGACTGCAAAACTTTCTCTGATCTATCTTTCCCGAGACACTTTGACATAGTCCAGATCTCCTTGTTTTGACCCCAGGCCGTTCCCTTGTGGGGTAGTCTCGGGAACAGTCAGCAAGTGTGTAGGCAGTGTTCATGCCTAACGCTGACCCGCTGTTCCAAGGTCCATGCTTTTATGACCCCAGTCATACTCCCTTCTGGGTCTGGCCTTGGGGTCTGTAAGAAGGCTGTTATTCTCAGAAAAACATGAAAAATGTTTTTCATCATTGTTGATACATCATCAACACAGTTTCTTGATATATGCTGTTTTCCCAGGTGCTATTTCTATGAGATTTCTCAAGGCTGTGAGTATACATTATCAGAACTTCTCACTACAGTTCATTATAGAAAACTTGAAATAATATGAAGAAGAAGATTACTTAAGAAGATTTTAATTTCTTAGAAATAATTTGTTAACATTTTCGTATTTCCTTCTAACCTTTTTCTTAAAGCCTTACTACTTTTTAGTGTACTTGGAAATCTTTGAACTCAGAGCTGCAAAGAACCTTGCAGTCATCTGGTTGATGCCCTCATATCCCAGATGAGAAAACTAAGGTTCAGAGAGGTGTGGTTTGCTCATGATTCCAGTCTGATTACACAGTTGGAATTCAGGCATTCGGATTCTAGCCAAGCGACTATTTTCTTGACTCTTTGCGCAGGCCTGGAGGCCTCCAGAATGGCTCTCCAAGATCTCTTTACTTTGACTCCTCCATCCCATTTTCTACAAGCCGTACACCAGCAACCAGGGGTGGTGGGTGGTCAGTCCTGGCGCTATTTTTTAAGGTATTATTTCTCTCACAGTGCAGTGGCTTCTTTGGAAGTGTCTCGGCTCTTTTTATCAGAAGCTCACAAAGAGCATGACTTGAACTGACATGATTATTCAAACACTTTTTGCGTAAAGAAAGTATGAATTTAGTCCTAAGATTCAGGGGCCTGTAATTCACTTGTCCTGATAGTTAGGCATGTTTTGAACATACTATAACTTAAGCATAAGCATTTTTTCCTGGGTTTGATCCTTCCCAAATTTTCTTGTTTTTAAAATAATTTTATTTACCTATTATTTTTGGCTGCGCTGGGTCTTCATTGCTGGGTGGGCTTTTTCCTTAGTTGCAGTGAGTAGAGGCTACTCTCCAGTTGGCGGTGTGCAGGCTTCTCATTGTGGCGGCTTCTCTTGCTGCAGAGCTCGGGCTTTTGGGCACATGCGGCTCCTGGGCTCTAGAGCACAGGCTCCAGTAGTTGTGGGACACTCGCTTGGTTGCTCCTCGGCGTGCGGGATCTTCCTGGATCAAAGATCAAACTTGTGTCTCCTGGATGGGCAGGCAGATTCTTGACCACCGAGCCACCCAAGAAAGCCCTTCCCATATTTTCTATCTCAACTCTCATCAAAAGTTAGGAAGACCCTCTCATCCTCTGTGAGTGTATCTGGCAGTCCTTCTAAGAGTGAGTGAGGAGATAAGGAACTTCTTTCTGTGTTCTCCTGCCACTTGAGCAGCAAGCCGAAGGTGCTGAGCTGCTGTGGTCACTTTAATCAGCTGCATGTTGCTGTTCTTTTCAGCAGGTGGTCAGTTTCATTCCCCAAGGGGTCACTCTTCTCCCACCGAGAGAGCAACACCAGAGCCTCCTGTCCCAGAAGTAAATCCAGTTGCCCAGCAGACTGACCGCCAAGATGCTGCTTCTCCTGCCTGCTCTCTGGTGGAAGAGGCCAGGAGCCCCAGCCCAGATCAGACAAGCCTCTGCAGCTTCGAAATCAATGAGATCTACTCAGGCTGCCTGGACACAGCAGATAACCAAGAGGAGGAGCATCCAGGAACTGGCTTATCTCTTGAGGGAGCCACACCAAACCAGACAGATGAACTGAAGTCCATGGAAGAAGAGCTGGAAAAGATGGAGAGAGAGGCGTGCTGTTTTCTCGACGAAGACGAGAGCTCTTCGGACGCTGACACGGAGCTCTCCTGTGAGGACTGGGACTGGCAGAATGGGGCGCTGCGTTCCCCCAGCCTGCCTGCGCCAGCCGGAGGAGCCAAGGGTGGCATGAACAACCGGTCCATGACCGAGGAGTACATCAGTAAGTGTGTGCTGAACCTGAAGATTTCGCAGACCTTAATGCACCAGAATGCTGATTTGCTGAGGAATATTCAGCAGAAGATAGAAAAGCTTGAGATGATACAGAAGGAGCAGGCGGAGCGCAGGTCTCTGTGGGCTTCTTCGAGAGAGTTTGCAGGCATCCACGACTCACCTTCGGCCCTCGGCCCCCCGGCTTCCAGCTACATCCCTCCTGTCATGCAGCGGCTGGGGGACCAGCAGCCCGACCCGGGGGGCAACGGTCCGACTCTAGCAAGGTCTCCGAGAACAGCGAAAGATTTTCGAGGAGGACATTTTGGCAAAAGGTCCAAGAAAAGAAGAGACTGTGGCTGGACACCTTTAGCTTCTTTCCCCCAAGTCACTGAAGAAAGCACCGGGGATCAGCCGGAGAAGGGCCGGCAGGTGAGGCTGAGGTGGGGGGGGCAGGGCAGCACACGGGGTCTGCATACCCTGACCCGCCTGCAAGGGCGGCATCAGCACCGCCAACTTGTAGCGAGTCTTCTTTGCTTTGGGAAACGAGGCCTCTAGGTTGGAATTCCAAGGTAGATACTCTTCATCTTCTATCTGGAACCCAGCTCACAGGCCCTGTCCTCTATAAAATTCTATGAACTATGTGAAATCGCTGTTTTGTAGGTCAAAATCATCAAGTATTGACAATTGTATATAGTTCAACTCACCAAATGTGGTATCTTGGGCAGGTATTAATCCCTATTCTGAATTGCTTATTAATTCATTCATTCACTCATTTGATAAGCATAGAACCAGAGGCTGTTTATTAGACCCTGGGATTTGATGAATGAGCCACAAGCTCTGCTAGGAGCAGCTCAGACACCAATGGGGAATGGAAGGACTTTGTAGTCAAAGGAGATGCCTCAGAGGATGTGAGGTTGAAGAGTGGTTCCCCTGTGAGCTGCTGCTGTTTCTTCTTCTTTTTTTGACCACACCACATGGCTTGTAGGCTCTGGACTTCTTAAGGACAATCCGTCCAGTAAGGCTGAGGAAGGTCCCCACACATAGAAGGGGGCCTAGCAGTAGAAGGTACTCCGTAAGTGGTCATTGAGTGAATCAATAAATGGATGAATTTTAACAAGTTCACACATGCAGATCTGGCTGCCTGTTGAATCAGAATTTTAGAGATGGATCAAGCCCATCCTTTTCCAGAGTGCGAAGCTCAAGCTCAGAGACTTAAACTTCCTGAGACCCATGGATGTGACTGAGCACAGGGTGGAGTGGGAGAGGTCAGCACCTCTGGAAGGAGGATCTTATTCCTGAAATTATTTAGAGTTGCTGGCTCATGGTAAAAAAAAAAAAAAAAGCAGGCTAACTTTTAGTGGGTTTTATTATTCTTTTAAAATCCTCCACCTGAAGTGCACCCTCTCGGCCTGCACAGGGCAGCCGACTCCCACTACCCCACCCCTTGCTGTGCTACTGACCAGGCCCAGCTGGGTTTCTGACTCCCAGGCTAGTGCTCTTGCACTGTTCCTTGCTGCATTTCAGCGAGACTTTAGTCCTCACTTAGAACATTTGGAAAAGCCTTGGCATTTGTTTTTATGTTAAGAGAAGGAAAGTGATTTTGGAGAAGGAAATGGCAACTCACTCCAGTATTCTTGCCTGGAGAATCCCATGGACAGAGGAACCTGGTGGGCTACAGTCCATGGGGTTGCAAAGAGTTGGACACAACTGAGCTACTACTAACACACACACACAAAGAGAAGGCACAATGAAAGTTAGAGTTTACTAGAGTTTACTAGAAAACTACTGGAAATAACTTTTATTGTATACTGTATGTTGATCACCTGTTTCTGGATAACATAAAATAGCAGTGTTTTATTACTTCTCATCATTCTGTGGGCTCTGAGTATGACAGGGCTAGCTTGACTGATTCTTCCATTCCTTGTGATGCTGGCTGGGACCACCCCCTCAGCTGCATTCAGCTGGAGTCTTGAGTTGAGCAAGAAGTTCCAGGAAGGCCTCAGTTACCTGGCTCCCCCAGACGGCCTCTTTCTACACTTGGTTTCTTTTCATTCACTTAATAGTCTCACCCAAGCTTCTCTGCAGCCCAGCAGCCGGCTTCCCAAGTGAAAGCTGAAGCTGCCAGGTCTCTTAAAAACTAGGACACTATCACTTTTGCTGCTTTTCTGATGGTCACAGCTAGGAAGGCAGCATAGATTCAAGGGGAGGGAAGTAGATTCCAGGTCTCTCACGGTGGTGTGGACCAGGAGGGAAGGCATTGAAGGCAGCCGTTGTTGGAAACTATCTACTAGTACATATGACTACGTGTAAAGCAACTATACCATATTTTAATTGTTCTTTAAAAAGCCTGCTCTAGTTTTCTAGCATTATCAAGGAATAAGGCATTTTCACCTAAGTGATATTTTCAAACATTTGAAATTCATTCTTTTAATTTCTCCATTCTTAAATTTTTAATCATACTGAATGAAAACACTGCAGCCTTGCCATTTTTCTAAATACCAATTTGAATATATTCTAAATCTATTCTAGCCTTTCCCTGGTGACCATGATGATTTTTTGAACATCTGTTACTGTGATGTTCTGTGATACAATGCTGCCTCCACTCAACAGCCTCTGGAACTCATACTCCACAGAGACAGTGGTCATTTTTAGGCATCTTCTCACCTTTAGGTGTCTTGCGGCCGTCCCCAGATCTCACATGTGTTGCTTTTATTTGCTGTAGGTTAGGAAATACAGGTAAACTAAGTTAGCTGGAATTGCAGTAAGCAGATCGCAGGTCTCTTTTTTAGGTTAAAGGGCATTGGCTTTAATTTATTTTACTTCTACTATTTGGGAAGTATTGTAGCCTTTTGTTTTTTTGTTATTTTTTTGGTTGTGTTTTATTTTCATAGCACCCCTCTCCTTCCCCACACCCCCAGTAGATTTAGGCACATATTATTGTCCCTGTTTTATGAAGGATGAAGGATGAAGAAACCAAAACATAGGGCTCACTTAGGTTAGTCTGAGTAAAGATCAGATGAGAACTCAGGGCCTGGGACTCCTGCCATAAAACCTGCTGCCTTAATAATCACATAGGGGAAAGTTTGGGGACTTTTGATGTCTATTTTGTCGCTCATTTTCCACTTGCACCCTGTTTGGACTGAAGTCCTGAGGGCCAATGTGTCTATGAAGAGGCCTCCAGCTAAGAGATAAGGTATTAGATGTGAAGCATGCAAACTGAAATTGTCTTGAGAGGTCTGGTTAGTTCTACATACTGAGCGAGAATGACTTTAAAAATAGAATGTGAGAGTGAAGGGAAGAGGGATTCCTTCATCAAAGCACTGAAACAGGTCTGCTTTTTAAGCTGCCAGCTCGTTGTGGCCCTGGAAAACAGAGCGGAGGTGAACAGTTCCAGCCCACTCACGGAGCCAAGGACAGTTTGGAAAGAAACAGGAACCAGAATACCAGCAGGTGGGTTAAGGTTTCATTGTTCTTTGCATCACCATGTCTTTAGACGCCCATGTGACCCTTAGGCCACTTAATGATCTTCATGTTGCTGATGACAAAGAGATTGTGAGAGTTGAGGAGTAGTAACACAGAAAGAGATGTTGGCAGATTCTCTCTGTTGAGTGAGTGAGAAGAGCAGTATAATGGAAACTCGAGGGAGACGTCAGAGGTGAAGTTGCTGGCTGGTCAGTCAGACAGAACTCCTCAGTGGTCCAGAGCAAAGCATCCTGCCTTTCTGAAACTGTCCAGATTGCTTTTCTGATAAAAACAAGTGCCAAGTATCCCATGTGCCAGTGTTCCAGAAACCAAACTACATGAAAACTAGTGTTGTTCAAAATAAGGGTCACTGACTCTGGGAGGCAGGAGGAAGACGTTGAACGATATCATCGTTACCTTTTGGACTCTGATTTTTAGCCAGATCGATGAAATGAATTGACTTCAGCACAAACCAATTTTCCTTCAGTAGAAGAAAAGGGTATGCATATGCTGGGTTTTTAAGAACTTAAGAAAAACAAATTTTCTTTTGCATAGGGAGAATTATTAATGGAGCAATAAGTGTTTTTCAGGACGAGTAGTAATATGAACTTAGTTTTCCTCTTCTGTGGTTAAAAGGCAGCATTAATCCACAGCTTTGAAGTCAGTCTTCCTGGAAAAAAAATTTTTTATTCCTGCCCTCATTGGTGACTGAGAATAATGACAAGAATTTGCTGTTCTCTTCACTTCAGTTAAATATGTACCAAAGAATCGAGGAACATGCCCAGACATTTTAGATTAGTGCATTTCACCTTTACAAAGGGAATTAACTGAAGAACCATCATCGGCATCAGAGAGTTTAGCACTCACATCATTGCCAGAAGTGAACAGGGTGACAGTGTAGCCACTGGAGGACAAAGCAGAAACTGTAGTTGTGACCTTCCCTGCTCAGCACCCTCCTCCCCCCGGAGAACAGAAACAGGCCAAAGAGAAAGCTTTAATGCTTTGCTGTCAGTCCACCTAGTCTGCTTGTGTGCTTTCAAAATAACTCTAATTACATACATGTAGGCGTTTCTGTGGGCTTCCCAGGTGACTCAGGGGTAAATAATCCACCTGCCAATGCAGGAGACGCTGGTTTGATCCCTGGTTGGAGAAGATCCCCTGGAGAGAGAAATGGCAACCCACTCTTGCCTGGGAAATATTCTTGCCTGGGAAATCCCATGGACAAGGAGCCTGGCAGACTACAGTCCATGGGGTCACAAAGGGTCAGACATGATTGAGAAACAAAAAGGCAGTTTTGTATCCTGAGCTTTTGCTTTACATTAGAATGTTTTTATCCTTTGTTATTAAAAACATCCTGTAAACTTACTTTGAAATTGTAAGCTTGAAATGGGGAAAAATTGAATTTTCCTCATTTTTTTTTCCCCCATTGTTGAATTTTAGGTTGTTTCAGTCTTTCTTTTTTCTGTTATGACTAGGGCTATATATAGTGACTTGTCAGTAAATTTTGTTCTGCATTTTGGGTTATGTCCTTGATAGGCTCCCAGAAGCAGAGTTACAGAGGGTTTGAACATTTTAAAGATGCTTGATAGCTGTTGCCAAATTGTTCTTCAAAGAAGCTGATCAGACATGACTTTTCTAATTCAACAGCCTCTCTTTGCACTCTGATACAGCAGGAGACTGGGCTATTCTAGATAAAAGAGAATTCCTATGTATGCATAAATTACACATTTTCTTTTTCTTTATCTTATTTGGCGGTGCCAGGTCTTAAGTTGCGGCACACAGCATCTTCTAGTTGTGGCATGTGAGATCTAGTTCCCTGATCTGGGATCAATCCTGGGACCCTGCATTGGGAGCATGAAGACTTAGCCACTGGATCACCAGGGAGGTCCCCTAGATGAAACATTTTCAAAGCATTAGTTTAACAGGTGATAAAGTGTATATAATCATGGGATATTTAGAGGAAAAAGAGACTGATTTGTTGTGCAGATGAGGAGATCTTGGCCCAGAGAGACTGAAGTTTGCCAAAGTCAGCTAGCTAGTAGCAGGACATGGTCCACAACTCAGTGAAACTAGGATGAGGATCTCTGAATGATTTTCAGAATCCCTGGTGCCTTAAGCCCATCTTTATAAGTGTTAGCTGTTGTGCTATCACTGATATACAGGTGGGCCTGTTACCAGAGGATTCTGATCAAAGGGCAGGGAACTACTGAACCATCACCTATGCTCTGCTCTGCTACAACCCGAGGACCAGGGTTCTGTTTGTGAAGCTGAATTTCAAGATCTTCTAACCTAGTCCTTTCATTTCTTAGCCAGGGAAGGCCTAGGGAGTCCAGTCCTCAAAGCAAAATGACACAGCTCAGTAGAGCACTCCTCACCATGCCAAGCCACCCACGGGGACCACCCGCCTCATCCAGCCCTGGCCAGGACTCTACCAGGTAGCACAGCCTTGTGGGCCGAGTGTTGGGGAGAGGGGCGTGGTGGTGTCTGGTGCCCACTGCTGGTCTTTAGGAGTCAGTGCAACCTCAGAACTGCTCAGAGAATAGGGGACAGTCCTCTGGGTGGGCTCACGGACTTGGGGTTGTGTCAGGAACTTGAGTCAACTGATGTTTTGTGTTCACTTGCCCTCTTCCCCCAAATAAATGCAATTCAGGATCAGCATGCAATCTGTGTCTTCTGAAATCTATAACGCAAAGTCAAGAAATGAAGGTGATGCAGAGATACACTTAAAGTGGAAAAGTGAGTATAAAGCCATGGGTTCTGTTCGACAAAATGAAATTTAAAGTACCTTTCTAGCTTGGTTGTTATCTCAAAGTGCACAACCTGTCTTCTCATATTCTTTTCTTGTTAGATCATTCCATTTTAAAAGTAAGACCTTTCTGGTTACAAACTGAAAGAGAAGTGCTTTTTTAAATCTCTGGACTATATAGGAAATCCATCTACACTCTGTATATGTGTATATATGTATGTTGTGTAACAAAGGTAGTAAAAAAAAATACACAGTATAGATTCTTATAATGTTAGGGTAGAGAGCTTGCAGTGTCAGTTTCACCTATCCTGTGGGCATTATCCTTTTGTATCAGTTTAATCTTATGAGCATAAAAGAATACAGCATGTATGTTTTTTGATAGTAATGCTAGGTGGCACTGAAAAGGATAGAAAATTTTGAGGAAAACACACATGCACATATATATGTATATATGTACTCCCAAAATATGAGCTCAGTCCGGTCTAGAAAGGCCATATAAACTCAAATAGAATTCCTTCCGTTAGCTTCTGCAGGCTAAGGGCTTCACATGTCATTTTCTTACAAAATCTTTACAGCAAGAAGGTCTGTCTACACATTTCTGTAGTCTTTTAGTCTGATTCAGCATAAAGGGCTGTAACTAACTGAAATTCTGCCTGTCCCTCACTGTTATCCGTTCTCTCCTCTTTCCTATTTCAAGCCAAGCAGGGCAAGCTAAAGATGATGCAGTTCTAAACAGGGAGTAATTGTGACAATATAAGCTATAAACCATTACGTAACTCTTTAAGGAACTAAAACTTTTGTTTCCAGCATTCACAGTGCTGTTTTAAATGCTGCTTTCTCTTACGTCCAGCGGAGGTGAAAGAAATGGCAGCGAAAGCAGCTACTGGACAGCTGACAGTACCTCCTTGGCATCCTCGGAGTGGTCTGGCTTTAGACAGTGAGGCTGAACATGAGCCTGACCCCCTGCCGCAGCTCCCCATTAGGGTCTCTGAGCATGTGGATTGGCAGCAAGCTGCAGAGTATCTCAAGAAAAGCGGTGAGCCAGGAGGAAATAAGTGTGGCCAAACAGACAGCAGTGACCAGCGTGGCAGACAGTCATGGCCTCAGCGTTTCACCAGTAAGTTCAGATGGAGGAACTGGGGTAGGTGAGCTCTGTCAAGTTGTCAGCTCTTGACAATAAGTAAACCTCCTGGAATATTTCCTTTGGCTTCTCTCCTTTCCTGTCTATCTGGGGGTCCTGAATTCCAGGGGAAAGTAGCACACCCATCTAATCCCACTGTCCTTCAGACAGATGAAAAAGTCCAGAGACTCGCAAGTTTTTTATTACTAGAGGAGATTCCTTTGTCCAAAGGAAGTAAATCGTCTCCATGCACTGACCCTGCTCCTGGATCTAACCTGGCAAAGAATTGAACCTTTCACCAGAGAGCATCGGTGGCAGGCCACCCCCTGCTGCCCACTTCTTTGCATTGCATTTTAGGCCAGAAAAATGCCACCGTCTCTCAGAGAGTCTATGCCTGAGGAACCTAGAGACAAACGGTGTTTACTGCCGTCACTTTTATAGATTTGTGGGTGTGTCTTTCTACCTGGTAATTTGCTTGCAGTCAGGGCATGGGATATCATTTCACAGTTGTTTGAAAATCAAGGAAAGGTACATCTGAAATTATCATTCATCTTAGATAGAAAAATATGCTGGTTTGGATTTTTTTGGTATTTAAAATCTGTTCCTTGTCAAGCATCACTCTTGAACGGGTGGGTGAAAGGGAGAATGATTCACAGCTGCGTGCTAGAGCCAGGCTAACCTAACAGTCTCCACTGTCTGGACAGAACCTGACATGACACATGGCCACATTTGGCAGAAAATGCATACATCTCTTCTCTTATAGTATCCTTTGCCCCTTCATGTCATTTAAAAATTACCAAATGACAATTATTGTGTTATAATCGTTAGGTATCAGGCACCTGCCCCCCAGAAAAGATGAGCAGCCAGAGCACAGTGAAGTCTTTCAAGCAAGTTCGGATGCATCTGTGGCGGTTGAGAAGTCTTGCAGCGTAAGTCATACAGCTGGAGAGCCAACTCAAACCCAAAGACCTAGTAGAGTAAAACTGAGTTGTTACGTATTATGACATTGAAATATCTGTAGTAGTTCTTTTTAGTTGGAGCATGCACCCTCATGTCTCTGACATGAATGAAGAAGCCTTTCCTCCTGTCTAATACTTTTTGAATTAGTTCAGCTCAAAGCACTGTGAATATTGGAGCTTGGGGAAAACACAGTGTTAGATTCAGCTCTGACCCTTGAGCTTTCTGTGTGCGTGCTCAGTAACTCAGTCGTGTCTAATTCTTTGCAACTCCCATGGCCCAGGCTCTTCTGTCCATGGGATTTCCCAGGCAAGAGTACTGGAATGGGTTGCCATTTCCTTCTCCAGAGGATCTCCCTGACCCAGGGATCTAGCCCACGTCTCTTGTGTCTCCTGCATTGGCAGACGGATTTTTTACTGCTATACCACCTGGGACGCCCAAGCTTTCTGTATAACTGTGTAGAAAAGACCACCTCGTAAAGCTCAGTGTGAGGTCAGTTACCAAAGCTCATGACTGAAGTCAGATTGAAGTAGGAAGAGCAGGGCCAGGGTTGCAATGAGAGTGCCTTTGCCTGGGATGTCATCTAAGACCGAAATTCAGCTCTCAGCTCAGTGGAAGGAGTGTGTTCATGCCTGAAATCTATGCCTCAGCAAGATCCCTGGGATTCAGTCATTTCCCAGCATTTGCACTGGGGTTACAGCCTTGCTTCAGGGATTTAATGTGTTCTTCAAGTGTGCAACTGGGCCATGGTCCAGCCAGCGTAAGGAACCAAAATTTGTAATCACCATTGACATGGAAGAATATAAACGAAAATTGAGAACAAACAATGTGAAAAGCCTATTGTGATAACATTTGAGGCTTTTCAAAGAACATACCTTTGTATCTTAATCAGTACACAGACTACTCACAGGACAGTTTATTCTTTCTCTCCTGTGAGGCCTGGGAGGATGCACCACATTAAGCATACTGGCTTGGCTGGAGAAGCAGGTCTGTCAGGGAAGTGGAGAAGGTGTGGGAGGCCAGGCTTGTCTGAGAAATTTCAATTTGATATGAGGGGTTAAGGAAAGCAGCTGCTAAGTGCACAGAAGAGGAAGTGTGGCAAAGGCAGTGTCCAGGGAAATAAACCGCAAAACCTGTGCAAAAAAATGATTGAAGGTAAGGAAAGGAGCCAGCTGTCTGGCCACGTGGTGATGAGGGCCTGGATGTAGAGAAGTAGCAGAAAAGGAAGGAGGAGAGCAGAGATGCTGACAGAATAACTTGCTTTTAATTAATTTATTTATTTGGCTGTGCTGGGTCTTAGTTGCAGCTTGTGGGATCTAGTTCCCTGACTGGGGATAGGACCCAGGCCCCCTGCTTTGGGAGTGTGTATAGCCACTGGACCACCAGAGAAATCCCAGTAACTTACTTTAAATTATTTCATTTTTAAAATAGTTCTCCCTTTTTTCTAAATTAAAAAAAATTTTTTGACTGCATGGCTGTGGGATTTTACTTCCCCAGCCAGGGATCAAATACACACTGCCTGCAGTGGAAGCATGGAATCTTATCTGCTGGGCCACCAGGGAAATCCCTGTTTTATTTTTATTATTGAGATTGTATTGCTATTTTTAAAATCATGCTCCTTCTCTTGCCTTTAAATGGGAATACCTGAAGGAGTCCCAGGTCTGAGCAGCCTCAGCCTAGAGTTGACTCCAGCACATGGACTGTGTTTGTGCCTGTGGGGGATCAGTGTGTTTAATTTCAGTCCCCAGCTTGAGTTGTCTAGGGCCTTTCTTCTTCCTGTGAATTGCAGAGCAAAAAGGTTGCCCGGCCTCCCGTACTTCCATTGTGCAGGTAAGGATGTTGAGATTCAGGACTGTGATTTGTCACACTTGCTCTGGGGTTCATGACTGGCTGTGCAGAAGGAGGGCAGAGGTGCGCATGTGGCGGGAGGGGCTCTGAGAGCATCATCCCAACTGCAGGGTGATTTTAGATGCCCTGTTACTAACAGTGCAGCCAGCTCTAAAGGGATTTGTTTACAATAAACACCAACTGAAAAGTGATTTCCTACGTTATTAATAGGATCAGTCTGCACAATCAACTTGTTCACCAGAGTCTTCTGAAGACATGACAGATGAGTTTTTAACTCCAGACCATGAATATTTTTACTCCTCAATTGCTCAAGAAAATTTGGCTTTAGAGGTAAAAATTTACAAAGTTCAGAATAAAGTACATCTCCAGCTTTCTCTGTTGCTTTATTCCTTTAAAATTATTTTTATTAAGAAAAATAGCTTATACATAAAATAATATCATGTCAATTTATCAGTGTTTTCATGTGTTTTGAAAAAACACATTTGAAAAGTAAGATTTTTCATAATGAAGTTCTTACCGCAGAATTGTGGTTCCTGCATTTGTGCAGCACTTTGTACTTCTTTTTCAAAACCCGTTCCTTCTTGTTGCTTAATTCACAGTCCTTTCTTGAGGGGAGAGAAGGCAGCCTGCTATTATTGCTCTGTGTGAAGAAGCACTGGTGACAGTAGACTAGGGAGTTAGCCCAGGACTGACAGGCTTTAGTGGCGGGAGAGCCAGGAATAGCGGCACAGGGTCCGCAGAGAAGGTGAGGCTGTCCAGTACACAGGCCTTTCTCTGCGATCTGCCTGGCTTTTGCAAGAACCTGTTTGTGCACAGAGTATTTTCATTTATAAAATGAAAATCATAGGAGTCTTTTATTCTCTTGTAATTTTTACCTCCTCTGTCCCCTAACCTGCCACCTTTTACCAATATGGAAGGTAGAGTGGAGGAAAGAGAGATTGTACATGCCAATCACCACATTTGACTGACGGGAAGAATTCAGTGATGCATCACAAAGCATGGTTCTCCCTTGTCGGCACTTCTGAAAACTCAGTTAGAGCAGTTTTCCATTATCAGTCCTTCGAACATTCTTGATATTACTGTGGACTGTGACATTAAGAAAATGGTTAATAAAAAATACAAAGTTTATATACGTATATATGTACATACATGTAATATGTACACATAATATAAAAAGGGTAACAGGGAAAAGTACACGCATCTTTAGGGTACAGATCATGAACTTTTACATGCTGAACACACTCATGGAGCCAGCACCCAAATCAAGAAATAGAACATTCTTGATCCCCTAGAAGACCTTGTGTTTCCTCCCACCCACTGCCTCGCCTCAAAGGAACCGGTGTTCTGACTTCTCACCCCGTAGAGTAGCTTTAGAGCCTGGGCCATCTTTCCTACCTTTTTTGGCTTTTCTAGTAAAGCTCCCAGGAATTAAAACATCTTTGTTGGATGGTTGGAGTGAGGAGAGGGGATAATTATATAAGATGGTTGGAGTGAGGAGAGGGGATAATTATATAAAGAAGGGAAAAGTAACCCAATCCCACCTCACAATGGGAGGGGGAGGAGGGCTTGTTGTGGAGGAGGATCGTATAGTACAAGTAAGTTCTTAATGTCTGTGAAGGTTTGTTCTTTTTCTATAAAAGATGCAGGAACTTTATAAAGATTTTCAAAGTTTAAGAACATCAAGAAATCCTCTCCCCATCTTTTGATGATATATCTTCCTCTAGTGAGCTTCCTTTCTCTGCTCTTTCGTTCTTTTATAGACCTCAAGTCCCATTGATGAAGACTTTGAAGGAATACAACATGCTTGTGCCCGACCTCAAGCCTCTGGTAATACGCCCTCAGGGCAAATTCCTTTGAGAATCCCTCATGTTCACTTTCTGTCAGATCACACATGTTTAGAGCTGGAAAGGTTCTTAGAGATAACCTTCCAGGCCTTTCATTTCACAGATAAGAAAACTTAGGCTCAGTGGTTTCCCCTCATTAGAATGAATCCCCAGCTGCTCACCAGCCTCATTGCATCCATACATCATGTTATTTATATACTTCCCCTTGCGTGCTTTTTTTTTTTTTTTTAGTTTTCTTTTTTATTTTTCCCTTGCGTGCTTTTGTTTTTAACTTTGCTATTTATTTATTTATAAATATTTGTGGATTTATTTATTTGGCTGTGCCAGGTCTCAGTTGAGGCACACAGGATCTTTAGTTGCTGATTTGGTCTCTTTAGTCGCGGAATGTGGGCTTTAATTCCTTGACCAGGGATGGAACCCAGGCCCCCTGCATTGGGATTGTGGAGTCTTCACCACTGGACCACCAGGGAAGTCCCCTCACCTTGCATTCATATAGCATCTGTTACAGCAGTTGCTGCTTCTTTTCCCCCTGTGGTCTCTTTCCCTAGATTTCAGGCTCCTTTGTGGCACATAGCGGGAGTTCAGTTGTTTGTGCCGAGCTGACCTGAAGGATTGGCCTAGGCCACACAGCTAGTTATTGACACGGTGACAACCAGTACTAGGTTTCTATGTCCTTCCCTACTCCCGAAGACTGAGTTTTACCATCATTTTCCTTTCCTTGCATGACACCTTAGCAAAGGGTTAGTAATAGCCAACACTACAGTCAACATAACATCGTGCCCTTTTGGGGTCTTGGGTTCTGTGTAACTTAGCAATTGCTTCCTGTTACATGGGAAGTTAGCCTTGGATCAACAGCTGGGGTATGGCACAAGACAAGATATAAATGGACCACAGGTACTGATACGACATTTAAAAAATTGTGCACTTTCTCTCTTTTAAGGTATGTAACCATCTGTTTTAAAGCCAGGATTATCCATCTACTGAGCCATGCAGCTCGGTCCATGGTCATGTCTCAACTGTCTGAACCCAGGCTGGGCAGGTGTAGGTTCTGAACGTACTCCCTTCCTCCTATTGCACACTCCAGCTTGCGTCTCTAACCTTATTCAGGCCTCCTTCACAGTTGCAAGCAAGCATTTTAAGAAGCTGTACGCTTTTAGATGAACAGTTAAATTCTCAGGAAAATATGTGTTTGAAGTTCCCAAACCTGGGTCTCTGGCCACGCCGTTCTTTCTGTGGAGCCTCTGCCCATGATCACTCTCTGTGTGAGCCTGACCTGTGTGTGGCCACTTCACTTGCGTTTGAAAGAGGGGTGAGTAGGAGAGAGAAATTATGCAGCAGGCAGGTCAGAAAACCACGGCTAGTTGGCTGCAAACATCTGAAGTACATGTAGAAGAAGCCTCTGATTTCTACTCCGTTTCCTCCTTTCAGCCTTTCTCTTCCCCCCTTCCCACTACGGCTCTGATATACATCCTCTCCATACCAGGCAATACAACAGGGGTAACAGTGGGGTACACACTGGGTTCCATGCCCAGTTCTGCTGCTGACTTTTTTCTGCATGACCTTTGGCATCTTGGACATGTCATTCCACCCCAAGGCCCCACCTTCCCTTCGTATAAAATAAAGGAGAGAGTTAGACTCTCCAATCTCTGACTTCCCCTCCAGCTCTAAATTGTGCTTATTAGAAGTTCATTTATGCTTTCTAGGGCATTTGAAGAGAGCAGCAAGAAGGAGAACCGCGATGTTTCTCCACTGGTGGGGGTTCAGTGTCTTCAGTCAGTTCAGTCTATTCGCTCAGTCGTGTCCGACTCTTGACGACCCCATGGACTGCAGCACGCCAGACCCCCCTGTCCATCACCAACTCCCGGAGCTTGCTCAAACTCATGTCCATTGAGTCGGTGATGTCATCCAACCACCTCATCATCTGTCGTCCCCTTTTCCTCCCTGCTTCAATCTTTCCCAGCATCGGGGTCTTTTCCAATGAGTCAGCTCTTTGCATCAAGTGGCCAAAGTTGCAGCCTCAGCATCAGTCCTTCCAATGAATATTCAGGACTGATTTCCTTTAGGATTGACCAGTTGGACCTCCTTATAGTCCATGTGACTCTGAAGAGTCTCCTCCAACACCACAGTTCAAAAACATCAGTTCTTCTGTGCTCAGCTTTCTTTATAGTCCAACTCTCACATTCATACATGACTACTGGAAAAACCATAGCTTTGACTAGATGGACCTTTGTCGGCAAAGTAATGTCTCTGCTTTTTAATATGCTGTCTAGGTTGTTCATAACTTTTCTTCCAAGAAGCAAGCATCTTTTAATTTCATGGCTGCAGTCACCATCTGCAGTGATTTTGGGGCTCAAAAAAATAAAGTCTGTCACTCTTTCCACTGTTTCCCCATCTATTTGGCATGAAGTGATGAGACCAGATGCCATGATCTTAGTTTTCTGAATGTTGAGTTTTAAGCCAGTGTTTTCACTCTCCTCTTTCACTTTCAAGAGGCTTTTTAGTTCTTTGCTTTCTGCCATAAGGGTGGTGACATCTGCATGTCTGAGGTTATTGACATTTCTCCCAGCAGTCTTGATTCCAGCTTGTGCTTCATCCAGTCCAGCATTTCACATGATGTACTCTGCACCAAAGTTAAATAATCAGGGTGACAATATACAGCCTTTATATACTTCTTTCCCCACTTGGAACCAGTCTGTTGTTCCATGTCCGGTTCTAACTGTTGCTTCTTGACCTGCATACAGATTTCTCAGGAGGCAGGTTAGGTGGTCTGGTAGTCCCATCTCTTGAAGAACTTTCCAGTTTGTTGTGATCCACACAGTCAAAGGCTTTGGCATAGTCAATAAAGCAGAAGTAGATGTTTTTCTGGAACTCTCTTGCTTTTTCGATGATCCAATGGATGTTGGCAGTTTGATCTCTGGTTCTTCTGCCTTTTCTAAATCCAGCTTGAACATCTAGAGGTTCATGGTTCACGTACTGTTGAAGCCTAGCTTGGAGAATTTTGAGCATTACTTTACTAGCGTGTGAGATGAGTGCAGTTGTGCAATAGTTTGAGCATTCTTTGGCATTGCCTTTCTTTGGGATTGTAATGAAAACTGACCTTTTCCAGTCCTGTGGCCACTGCTGAGTTTTCCAAATTTGCTAGCATATTGAGTGTAGCATTTTCACACCATCATCTTTTAGGATTTGAAATAGCTTAACTGGAATTCTATCACCTACACTAGCTTTGTGCGTAGTGATGCTTCCTGAGACCCACTTAATTGCGCATTCCAGGATGTCTGGCTCTAGGTGAGTGGTCATACCATCGTAACTATCTGGGTCATGAAGATCTTTTTTTGTATAACTTCTGGTGTATTCTTGCCACCTCTTCTTAATATCTTCTGCTTCTGTTAGGTCCATACCGTTTCTGTCCTTCACTGTGTCCATCTTTGCATGAAATGTTCCCTTGGTATCTCTAATTTACTTGAAGAGATCTCTAGTCTTTTCCTGTTCTGTTGTTTTCCTCTATTTCTTTTCATTGATTACTGAGGAAGGCTTTCTTATCTCTCCTTGCTATTCTTTGGAACTCTGTATTCAAATGGTTTTATCAGTGTCTTTGCTTTTGCTAAAGGTGGTACTTTTATAGTGGGCTTGCCATTGCCTACCAGGCCACCTTCTGGACCTAAAGAATGGCAGGGGGATCGTGAGCATTTGCCAATAGGGCTGGCTAGTCTGTGTGTCCACTTCTCCATAAACCATAGCTGTATAATGTGGGAAGGAAAATTGGATACTGGTCCTGTGTGCCCAGAGGCCTACAAAGTATCTTCCTGAGAACTGGGGAGGAGTGACTTGAGATGCTTGAGGCCAACGAGAACAGAAGACAGTTGAATTAGCTCATTAGTACTCAAGACCCCACCCCGGGTCTTTAAGTGGTGTTTGGTGGCCAGGAGACACAGTTAGCATCCTGGGAATGCCCAGCTAATGGTCTTTTCTGCTTGGAATCAGCAGTGAACAAACAGTTCTTGGTTTCAACGCCCCCTGGTGTCTGTTGACAGGAATCAGGTCAGTTTGCCTTCCTGAAAAGACAAAACCCCATTTGTCTCCGGAAATAACTGTGCGGCTATAACTGAAAGGCCAGTAAATGGCTTGATTGTATTCTGAGTGTCAGAATATAGTTCTCCCCTCTGAGCAAGGAAAATAAACTTTCAGAGCAAAAACCTCTTCTACAGTACTCAATCCAAGCCCAATTAGGAAACACTTTGTTTATGTAGTTTATTTATTATTCTAGACCAGACCAGGAAAACTCCAGAGAATGAAAATCATAATCTAGGTTTGCAAAAATTTATTAAAAATGCGTTTAATTTATTCTTTCAGGTGAAGAAAAGTTCCAAATGAGAAAAAACTTTGGAAAAAATGCTGAAATTTTGACCAAGTCTCAATTCCAGCCTATACGAAGGTATATGCCATTATTTTATTCACAGTTTCAGACTCATAGACGTAATGTTAATTGATGGTAATGCCCCATATTTATATGTTGCTCTTCTTCAAATATAATAGCCACCATGTTATAACAATAAGCTTTAGGCAGTTTAGGTTTGTTAGGACTTGTTCAGCAGAATTGTGAAGGGTCATGGAAAGGAGCTGTCATCTGCATCCAGATCTTGGCTCTACTTTTCTAACTGTACGACCTTGGTCAGATTTCTTTTCTAGGTGTGTGTGTGTGTGTGTTAGTCGCTCATTCGTATCCAACTCTCTGTGGCCCCGTGGACTGTAGCCTGCCAGGCTCCTCTGTCCATGAAATTCTCCAGGCAAGGATATTGGAGTGGGTAGCCTTTCCCTTCTCTGGGGATCTTCCCAACCAGGGATCAAACCCAGGTCTCCTGCATTGCAGGTGGATTCTTTACCAGCTGAGCTACTTAATGTTATGTAGCACACAACCCCCAGATTCTAGTGGCTTACAACAACAAAAACTGCTTTTGTGTTCATGTTCCATGTCCATCAGGGATTGGCCAGAAGTGTTCTGTGCTGTATTACTTTCTCTCAGAAATCTACGGTGTGGGAGACTCCGTCTTTATGCTTCCTTTTTTGCTGAGGCAGGAAAAAGAGAACATGGTGAATTGTGCACTGGACTTTTAAAAGTTTCTGCCCCAAAGTGAATCACATCACTTTCACTTACATTTCATTGGTTAAAGCAAGTCGTATGGTCATTTAAGTAAATTAGGCGAACCAGAAAGTACTGTCTTATGTTGTGCTCAGAAAAAGAAATAATTTTTGAATGAATTAATAGTCACAGCCCAATCTAAAATCCATTCTCTTTCCTTTATACCACTGGTCTCATAGGGATTGCTACAAAGATTAGAAATGTGGAAACATTTGGGAGGACTTAGCATGAGATCGGGCTTATAGTTTGTGTCTGAATATTGAAAATGTATCTTTTTTTTTTTTTTGAAAATGTATCTTAAATATTGGTTAAAGTAGAAACAAGTCAAGTTTGTCTTCAGAATTCTTTTCTAGCCTTTCTTTGACACAAGCCTCTCTTGGCCTCCCCTGATCTTCCATGGCAGGAAGCTGCCTCACAGTTGGTGAGACCCCCGTGACTGTGTCTCTTGCTCCAAGCTCCATCCCCAGCAAAGTACTCCATTGACTTCCCCAGAAGCTTGCTCAGCCAGTAGCACCATAGGTTGACTGCAGGTGGGCTGACCTTTCAGTTCATTTCAGTTCAGTTGCTCAGTCCTGTCCGACTCTTTGCAACCCCGTGGACTGCAGCATGCCAGACCTCCCTGTCCACCACCAACTCCCAGAGTTTACTCAGACTCATGTCCATTGAGTTGGTGATGCCATCCAACCATCTCATCCTCTGTCATCCCCTTTTTCTCCAGCCTTCAATCTTTCCCAGCATCAGGGTCTCTTCCAATGAGTCAGTTCTTCACATCAGGTGGCCAAAGTATTGGAATTTCAGCTTCAGCATCAGTCCTTCCAATGAATTTTCAGGACTGATTTCCTTTAGGATGGACTGGTTGGATCTCCTTGCTGTCCAAGGGACTCTGAAGAGTCTTCTCCAGCACTGTGGTTCGAAAGCACAGAGAGTGTTTATTTAGTCTCTGAAGAGGAAACAGTGGCCCAGACATGCCTGTGAACGTGTGGCTCATCAGGAGCAGTCAGGATCGAACCCCTCACTTTCGACTCTGAGCTCAGTGTCCTTCCTGCTGCATCCCACACTGTCCTTGGACCATGCTGTTGCACTCTGCTGACAGAAGATTTATGTAATTTTCTCACTTTCTCTCTTAACAGTACTGAAGGTGAACAAGACGAGACATTAAAGGAGCCACCAAAGGAAACGAAAGAGAAAGATATGTATGGCCACCAGAAATTGCTTAAGGATTCTGTGCAAAGTCTTAGTTTTAGGGGAATGGTGTTTTCTTATTTGTAAGAGTTTCCGTGTTCTTCCTATTTTTATGTATACATGTAACGTGAGCCTGTTTCTCCTTTCACCAAAAAGCTGCTGTGATGATGTGATCTAAATTGATAGTATTTTACAATCAAGGGAATACAGTGATAATAAGAATATAATCTTATACTTAAGGTAGATTAAATCTGTTTTCCACATTAATATACTTTCACCTTTGGAATTTATTTTTAGCTGCTGAGATATGTTTGAAGTTAGTATCTCTTTCTAAGATATTCTCTGATACTCTTTAAGATATCTTAAGTATCTTATAGATATCTTATGGATATTCTAAAGTATTCTCTTATTTTGGCCTCTTGCCAAATAAAGATTTTTGTGAAGAGCATCTTTAACAAGTACCTCTTAGGAATATAGTGTTTGATTTTTCTAAGTATCTCCCAGTTACTCTATGCTTTTAATACTTTAGATCACTGACAGACATTCAGGACCTGTCTAGTATCTCCTATGAACACGATGGTTCTTTCAAGGAAGTCTCATGCAAAACACCCAAAATAAACCATGCACCTACTAGTGTCAGTACTCCGCTCAGCCCAGGTACTGTCTCACAGGGGGGTGTTCTGGGAGGGGAGCCAATAGCTCCTGTCTCATTGGCTGTGGGGAGCCAGGTTGTGGGCGTAGACCGGCAGATGGGTGTTTCCTCACAGTGCAGCGGGGTTTCTTTAGGGCCAGAGCGGAAGGGGATGATCCCATGGGAGGCCAGGGGTGATGGTGATGGTGGTGGTGATTAACTAGCTATTGTTGTTCAGTAGCTCAGTCGTGTCTGACTCTCTGCAACCCCATGGACTGCAGCACACCAGGCTTCCTGTCCTTCACTATCTCTCCGAGTTTGCTCAAACTCACGTCCATTGAGTTGATGATGCCATCCAACCAGCTATAAGGAGATTTTTTTTAACTCGAGCGATGCTACCGTTGCTGCTAAGTCGCTTCAGTTGTGTCTGACTCTGTGCGACCCCATAGATGGCAGCCCACCAGGCTCCGCTGTCCCTGGGATTCTCTAGGCAAGAACATTGGAGTGGGTTGTCATTTCCTTCTCCAAACTCTAGAAATAGAGACCTGTAAATGCCAAGTCTACTTTATACTTGAAGCACTGTTGAATTTTGGGCAAATACAGTGGGATCTCTACAAGGGCTTTCCTGGTGGCTCAGATGGTAAAGAATCTGGCTACAATGCAGGAGACCCAGGTTCAATCCCTGGGTTGGGAAGATCCCCTGGAGAAGGAGATAGCAACCCACTCTAGTATTCTTGCCTGGAAAATCCCATGGACAGAGGAGCCTGGCGAGCTATAGTCCATGGGGTCACAAAAGCTGGACATGACTGAGTGGTTAACACTTTCACTTTCACATTGGATTTTTTATAGAATTAGTAACTTAAAACAGTATCTTGTACTTAAGCATACAGTCCTGTAACTGCATACAGCCAGCATCAAACACCCTCTTTTTAGTGTCCTTGTTTCAGTATATTTGTGGTTCAAATAATCTCCCTTTATTTTGATGACCAGGTTTAGAGACTATCATTTTGCATACCTTATGGAGCTTTGTCTCAGATCAGTTATATTTCAGTTATTGACAATCTGGGAAATTCCTATTATAGATAAAGAGTTTTATGGGTTTTGTGTGTGTGTCTGTTTGTGTGTTATTGTTGTTTTTAAATAATGTAAAGTATTCAGACACTGACTGTCCTCTTTTCTACAACAGGGTCAATTTCTTCAGTTACTAGTCAGTATAAGGACTGCCTTGAAAGTATCCCATTTCAGGATACTAAAACAGGATCTACCTCGTGCTGGACCAGTCAAGAATCTACTCAGACTTTGTCTGATAAATTTACAAGTGTCCGAGAGAAAGTAAAGAGCCTAGATTCCCTTCTTACTTCCTCTGAAATTCTCCCTGCAAGACTGACTAATCTCGTAAGTATACAGACTCTGCGTTGCACCCTCATGGAGTGATTCCAAAGGCATCAGTGATCCAAAAGGTCAAGATTTCTCCATATCTATTTTACAGAGAAAGGAAGAAATAAGATGGGTCCTCCCCAGGCTTCCCTGGGGCTCCTCTCTGATCCTGGGCTTTTGTACCCTTTCCTCTCCCTGACCCCACCAGAGATAATGTTTGGCAATTTCTCTAAAGAGCCGGCCTCTGCCATAGCTTATGGTGCTACCTTCATCTGCATTGTTCTTTCAGTCTAACGGTATTTTACATGCTGCTTCTTCCTTGAAGCCTCCTCTGGTGAGTTCTCAGAGAGCTTTGATTGATCCGTACCTTGTTCCTGAACCAGTAATCTGCAGTAAAAACACTGAACGCTGCCTCCTCCTGGCTTCCTCCCCTTCCCGGTGCTGTTTGCTTTTTTCCTTCTCGCTCTCCTTCATATTTCATATGTAGCCTTTCAGGAAAACTACAAGTTCCTTCCTTGGTGTACTACTCATTAAAAATCCGTTGACTAACCGTTGTGTCGCTTCCCTGGTGGCTCAAAAATAAGGAATCCACCCACCAATGCAGGCGATGCGAGTTAGATCCCTGGGTCAGGAAAATCCCTTAGAGAAGGAAGTGGCAACCCAGCCCAGTATTCTTGCCTGGGCAATCCCATGGACAGAGGAGCCTGGCGGCTGCAGTCTTTGGGTTCGCAAAAGAGTTGGACATGACTTAGTGATTAAACAACAACGAACAGACCGTTCTCTAGGCAGATTGATTACTTGTTTGGCCCTCAATGAAAAAAACCACTGTCATCTTCTTTGGGCATTTGACTCACAAAAAGTCTCATTCTGAAGTAGGGAATTTAAGAATTACATGCTTTTGTTCAATGCACTATTAACAGGGCAGGTTCTAAGGGCCTGGCACTGCGCCAGGCCCTCTGATAGGCATCCAGAGGTGAGCACAAACAGCCCCTGCCCCAAAGGAGCCCGGGACCTGGTGAAAAGGACTGGCATGGCGTAGCAGGCTTTCAGCGCGGACTGGGTGCTGTGGGGGCAAAGGCGGCGGGAAGCTTCCAGGAGAAGGTGACATTTGAACAAGCTTGACTCAGTCAGCAAAACAAGTGGCTTCTTCCGTGAATGATACACACGCTTAATTTTGGAAATGACTGAGCTTAACAGGCCCTTTTAGCTTAATAATGTGTGTGTAAATTACCATGTTTGTGTCTTATCTATAGAAAAGATTGCCTACCTTTACTGGGGCTGGTTCCTCCAGCGCTGCTAAGGCGCCTGACGCATCATGCAGTGCCACTCAGAGAAGGAGCCTGCCGAAAGGTACCCTGTGTTTAGTATTAAAATATAAGCTCATAATCAGTAGGCCTATTTAAGAGAGCCTTCATCTCATCTTTGATGCTATAGTAGGTTTAAACAAAACTGCTAATTTCCCCCGACTATAAAAATTAAACATACTTGTTATAAAACACTTGGAGCTTAAGGGACTTCCCTGGTGGTCCAGTAGCTAAGACGCTCCCAGTGTAGGGGGCCCAGGTTCAATCCCTGGTCAGGGAACTAGATGCCACGTGTCATAACTGAGTGTTTGCATGCAGCAACTAAATATCCCACATGCTGCAACTAAGATTTGGTGCAGCCAAATAAATAATTTTTTTTCAAAGAAATTAAAAGAGAAAACTACCACCATTCAACCATCATTTTTTAACCTCTTGTACTATTTTGGTACATATTTTTTTTATGCTTTTAGAACTATACCCCCCCATATATTTATATATATACATACACATATATATGTATTTAGCATAGCTAAGATCATATAGTATATCAGTTCTGACTGCTTCTTTTTCTTCAGTGATATATTTTATAATTTCCACTTGACAGTAAAAATTACTCATAAATATGAGATGACTGCATACTAGTCCATTCTACATATGTTGCCTAACCTTGCTTTCATATTGAAGATTTATGTTTTTTTCTAATTTTTGCTCTTTGTACAGAAATCTTTATCTGAATCTCTGGTCTTTTCTTTAGGATAGTCTTAGAAGATAATTTTCAGGTTAAAAGGTCTGAGAGTTTTAACAGCTCTTGAGGCCTTTGCTACACTAATCTTGTTGTCTTGTGTCTTTGGTATAAGTCTTAGAATTTCTCTCAAGGGGCTAGAGTTATTTCAAACTGTGCTGAGGGGTTTTGGTTACTGTTATGATTGATCCCTTAGGTGAAGTTCCAAAGTATGGTCTCCCATATCCCCTGCCTGGGTAATCTACACAGAAAGACCCCCACTTTGTGTTTTATTCATTTTGACGGGTCTAGAGTTTCTTTATTCCGCCAACAGCCTTGGTCCAAATTGGACCCCTGGCCTTTTAGTAAGAATTTATACCTCACCTATGCCAAATATCCTTGGAGAGGGCCACAGATCAGGTGGTACTGAGGTGAGCAGGGAGGTAGGAGTGAGTTTAGAGGAAAAGGGAGAGTAAAGCCATTCACATATGAAGTCTCAATAGGACTGTTCATGTAAGAGGATTTCTCCTTGTCTTAGCTTATTTCATCGGTGAGAAATTCTAAGTCAAATCTGTATGGAAGACTAGCGAGTCTAGTTTAGGTCCAGGACAGTCACTTTCCCTTTATCTTTCTTAAGAACTCGTAGAAGCCATCTCGCAACATCACATCGATGAGCTACCACCACCATCTCAGGAGCTGCTTGACGAAATTGGTAAGGCATGCACAATGCAGAATATCCTTCATGGCCCTGCTTGTTGTGGTCACTGACCATGTGTGGTTCTTTGTTTCAGGTGTGAGCACTAGTACAGAAGGCCCTATGAAGGTCTGACTGGATGGACAGAATTCAGGATTCAGTTTTCCAATGATAGGCCTCAGACTACTACTAAAGCCTGGCCAGAATATGTGGCCTGTGTCTGTGGTCATGTTCTTCCTTAAGGGTCTACGGTAGTGATTCTAAGAGGGAATAACAACATCCAAGTGGTTTATCATGATGAACTTTTATGAAAGGAATTCTCACCTCCCTTTTGAACCAAACTAGCTATACTTCAGCGCTACTGAATTCTGGCACCTCGGGCCAAAACATCCTGCGCTTTCCATTCTGCCGTTAGCAGGAGATTTTAAGATATTGGCATTGTGGAAGAATCCCTTTCCTGAGGGCAGGGAAGTCAGTGGCGCAAGATCTCACGAGACCAGAATTTTTCATTTGAGGCAGAGACTGAGGGATACCCACTCAATGTTGGTTGCAGCTGATGCGTGGGCCCTGCCCAGCTGAGCTGCGGCTGGAGTCAACAGTGCTGGTGGTAGAAGCGTCTGGGCCGGGTGGTTTGTTTCCCAGGCAGGGAGGACTAACTGCTCTCTTCTTGCCAGCCTAGCTGACCAGCCCCTCACTCTTGGAGGGTACATCTCATCAGGCCTCTGATGGGCCAGTTCTTGGTATAGGACTTGGAGGGGGTCTCCTGAGGGGCATCTCTTGGTTGGCAGGGCCTCTGAGGTCTGGTGTCTCATCAGGAAGAGAGAGGTGAATGAGGCCTTACCTGATCAAACTCAGTGGACAGATATGGTCTAGGCTGCCCAACCCCTAACCCCCGGCCACTGGCCTTGTAAACTTGGGTGAAGGCAGTCAGACCTGCCAGAACCTTCCCTGGCTTCTTTCTCTTTCTGCAGTCATAGGCCCTTGTTGCCTCGCCACAGCCCTCCCTGGTGCCCCAGGGCCACACGGGTCACAGGGCTGGGGTCAGGCTCTCGGGCTCTCCACCCCACACCAGCTTTCGTCCTCTGGAGCCCACTGCCGCACCCTTGCAAACTGCTCCTCTGCAGTTGCTCTCCTTCATGTAATAATGGAGCTGCTGCTGGTGAGAGGAGCGGTCACCCCCACCTGTCCTCTCTCAGTGCCGTCTGGTTTCCGGTCCTGGGTGAGGACGGACCTGTGGGCTCCTTTGCAGAGTGACCTCAGTGATGCCCTTCCCCTGGATCCTGCTCTCTCTCTGCTGTCCCCATGTGGACCACCCCCCCCCCCACCATCTCGGCAGCTGTCACAGGCTTCCGTCTGGGCCCCAGCCTCTTGGCACTGCTGTACCCCAGCGTGCTCTGCAGAAACGCTCCCTCTTTTCACCTCTGGTAATTTTCTGGGCCAGGTTTCTAGGCGATGTCTTATACTTTGAGATGGGTCAGTAATTTTCCAGAAAGATAAAGGGCAGAGGGTACCTGAGTAGTGGGTGTGCCTACCTGATTATTGCTTATCATTGCTGTCATCATTTCCTCTCCGGAGAGCTGTGGGGAGTGACCTACAGGAGACACCTGCTCCTTTGAAGGGCACTTATGCAAAGCTCCAGGCTTCTGTCCAGGGCCTCAAGGAGGGGGTCCTTTAGAATCCTGTAAGTTTAGCCAGGACTACTTTAACAAGGATAACAATGGATTTTTAAGTTTCAGATTATATTACATGAGCTTTATGGGGCCCCTTAGTGCCCAGAAGCTGCCAGGTATGGCTTGCTTCCTGACCTGCTAGAAGAGAGAGACTTGTGCCTGCACACAGCAGGGCCAGTGAGCCTGGGGGCCCAACTGTGCTGCCTCCCAGCTGTCTCTCTGTTGGGCTCTGGGGAGCAGTCTGAGGAAAGGGAGGACCTCACACTTGTGAAGTAGTATACTGAGTTTAGGAGATGCTTGTTTTGGTCTAGTGGTCAATTCTTTAGGAATCGTAAATTATATTCTTTGCAAGAGTATATAAAATAGAGATTAAAAGCGTAAACCTTAGAACTAGACTGCCTGTACTCAAATCCCAATTCTATCACATTACTATCTAATTCCTTTACCTTTCTTTTTCTTCAATTAATTTTTTAATTGAAGGATAATTGCTTTACAGAATTTTGTTGTTTTCTGTCAACCTCAATGTGAATCAGCCATAGGTATAAATATATCTCCTCCCTTTTGTGATTCCTTTTCCTTTCTTCACCTTAATTTGCTCATCTGTCAAACAGGAATAACAATAATATGATCAATCTCAGGGTTGTTGTGAAGATTAACTCAAGGTGTTAATCTTGAATTGAGATTGGCGGTACTAGTGGTAAAGAACCTGCCTGTCAATGTAGGTTAAGAGACACAAGTTCAGTTCCTGTGTTGGGAAGATCCCTTGGAATAGGAAATGGCAACCCACTCTAGTATTTTTGTCTGGAGAATTCCATGGACAGAGGAGCCTGGCGGGCTATAGTCCATGGGGTCACACACAGTTGTACACAATTGAGTGTGCATTCAGGAAGGAATCTTGAATTAACGTATACAAATTGGAAATAGTACCTCTCTGCAAGTGCTACCTATTATGGTCATCATTTTTACGTTTATGTTTAGTGTTACGTGGAATTGAATACAGTGGTTCTCAAGCGCCATCAGGCATCAGACTCATCTGGAGGGCTAGGTAAAACATCCACACCCCCAGAGTTTCTGATTCAGTAAGTCTGAGGTAAGGCCTGAGAATCTGCAGATATAACAAGTTCTCAGTTGATACTGAGGCTGTGGGTCTGGGAGCTACTCTTTGAGAACCGCTGCCCCAGAGGATGACGTGACCTGCAGATCTGTTTTCTGTTGTGACAGAGCACCTGAAGCAGCAGCAGGTCTCATCCACAGCCTTGGATGAGAACATAGCAAGTCATTCGGACAGCGCTGCAGATGGTAAGCCAGATCGTCACATCTTTTTTGGGCTGCTCAGGTGGCTCAGTGGTAAAGATTCCACCTGCCAATGCAGGGGACACAGAAGTTGTTGGTTCGATCCCTGAGTCAAGAAGATACGCTGGAGGAGGAAATGGCAACCTACTCTAGCATTCCTGCCTGGAGAGTCCCGTGGACAGAGGAGCCTGGCAGGCTGCAGTCCATGGGGTTGCAAAGAGCTGGATGTGACTGAGCACACGCCGATCCTTTCACCAGGTTTTGCTGTAACTGTCCTTGCAGCACAGTGGTACACCTGGGGGGTGTGCACTTTGGAATCAGGCACTCTCCACTTCAATTCTGACTCCATGGCTTATTTTGGTCTGACAAACTGTTTTACATCCCTGAGCCTCAGTTATCCTCATTTGTCAAAAGAGAATGGTAACTCCACCTAACGGTGTTCATGCACAGTGCCTGGTACGTTGTAAGATACTTAGCAAGTGTTAGTCTCCTTCCTCTCATAGAACTTCTGGCAGGATGAAATGGGAAAGCATATGTAACATGCCTGGCGTACATTAAAGGGCACTGCCCTTCCCCACCCAGATTCCTTCCCTGGCTTCAATATGGAAGCATCTAACAAGTGCGAAGAGGGTGGTCCCCCGAAATAAATCTGTACAACTTGTTTTCTGGGTCTCTCGCGGCCTCTTTTATGTGCCATTTCTTTCCTCTGTCTCTCTTGAGCCTTGGCACAGGCACGGTTTCCTATAGTTTCACCTGGCAGAGAGCTCCCCAGACCTCCGAAGCAGCTGCTGTGGATACGGGCACCCTGCAGATTGCCACCTGGCCCCATGCTCTTCTGGACAGAGGGGAACTCATGCTTTGCAGGCTTCAGGGTCCACGATTAGCCTTCATTTTTTGCACTCCATTTTAAGGCAGGTTTTCTAAAAAAAAACTTTTTTTGCTCTAATAAAGTCTTTCAACTGTTTCTAGATCAAAAGCATTTAGAAGAACAAGAAACTCACAGTAATAAAGAAGACAGCAGTGTGCTTTGGACCAAAGAAACCCAGGATCTAGAAGAGGACACAGAGAGGTAACAGAAAAAGCTGTATTTTTTTGAAGGGTTTAGAAAACTGTAGAGTTAATTTATGTTAGTTTTTCTTCTGATATTGACAGATAAGGAAAAAAGGGTCTTTTTTTCATGTTATCCTTATAGCCCCTGTAAGTATTTTTATAAAAGACCTAGAAGTATATTTTTTACCAAGTTTTTAATTGTGATAAAATACTCATAACATAAACATTTTAAGTGTACTATTCAGTAGTACTAAGTATATTCACATTGTTGTACAACTGACCTTTTTCATCCTGCAAAACTGAAACTCTGTACCCATTAAACAACTCATTTCATCCTCCCCTCATTCCCTAGCAACCGGCAGCTCTACTCTCTTTCTCTGAGTTTGACCACTCTTGATACCTCCTGTAGGTGAAATCATGCCATAGTTGTCTTGTCACTGGCTTATTTCACTTAGCATAATGTCCTCAAGGTTCATCTGTGTAGCATGTCAGAATCTCCTTTATTCTTAAGACTGAATTCCATTGAGAGGGTGTGTGTGTATCACATTTTGTTTATCCATTCATCTGCTGGTGGACACTAGGTTGCTTTTACCTTTTCACTGTCGTGAGTAATGCTGCTGTGAATGTGAGTATACAAATATCTTTTTAAGACGCCCTGCTTTCATTTCTTTTGGATATATATATATATGCAGGAGTGGTATTGTTGGATCACATGATAAATCTATTTTTATTTTTTTGAGGAAATGCCATCCTTTTTTCTGCAGCAGCTGCACCATTTTACATTCCCACAAACAGTGCAAAAGGGTTCCAGTTTCTCCACATCCTTACCAATACTTATTATCTTTTTTATAATTTATCTTTAATTGGAGGATAATTGCTTTATTTTCTGTTTTGTTGTTGTTGTTGTTGTTAGTAGCCATCCTAATGGGTGTGAGGTGATATCTTATTGTGGTTTTGATTTGCGTTTCTCTAATGATTAGTGGTGTTGAGCATCTTTTTGTATGTGGGTGGCCATTTGTGTATCTTCTTTGGAGAAATTGCCCAGTTTTAAAATAGGATTATTTGGTTTTTTTTTCCTCGTCAAGTTGTTTTTTGTTTTGGTTTTTACTTCATTTTGTGAGGCAAACATAGGTTTCAATTTCTTTCAAAACATTTAGTTAAAGAGAATTTTTAGGTCTTGGGGCAGTGATCCAGACAATTCAGTCTAAAAACACAAGTTTCCCTCAAGGGACCCAATTCTGCTCTTGACTTGGAGCTCTCCTTGGAGCTGCATTGCAAGGTAAACCACCTCAGTGCAACTCCTTTGCCTCCTGACTTCTCTAACTTTGTCCAAGCTGTCAAACTGTGTCCCAAACTCAGGGCCAGGACTCGGGGGAGGTGAAGGCGACACCCTCCATGGGCACAAAATAGAAGGAGGCACCAAAAAACTCAGAAGTCAAGAAAGTATTGTTTTAATGCCATATTTGTAAAAATCAATACTAATGCAAAAAAAAATCCATATTTTGATGAACAGAATATTTACATTTTAAAGGAAGAGAGGCTGTGAATCTACACTTAACACCACTTGCCTCAACCTCCTCCTGGCCCAGCAGATGAAGCCATGCAGAATATGTTCAGCTGCAAATATTAGAAAAATGCACTTAAAAATACCACTCCTGTTCAGATGAGTTTGTCTCACCAGCGGTTGGCAGGGCTTGGCTGGTGTAGAATCAGTGATGCCTCTGGGGACTTAGGCTCTTCTGATCTCTCTGCTCTGCCAGACATAGCAGGTTGCCTTTTGTTTTCAGACTTGTCAACTTTTGGACAAGGTGGCTTCTGTGCCCATTGCAGGCAGAAATAAGAGGGTGGGGCAAGAGTCTAGCCCACTCTGTGCTTGTCTTATCTGGAAAGCAAAAAATTTTCCTAGAAGCCCTTCTCAGCAGATGTCTACTTGTATCTTCTTGGCCAAATAGGACACATGGCCACCCTTAGTTGCCAGGGAGACTGGAAATTGAGTTTTTAGCTTTCAGCTGCTATAGAAGAGGAAGGTAAGGGAGGAGAGGGTTATTGACAACTTCTGGGTAGTGAACCCTGTTTCTGTCACACTCTTCAAGGGCTACACTATTCTTTACAAAGAAGGAAAAGAGAGAGACCTGGGTGGGAAGATCTTATGAGGAGACTAGAGCCCTGGGACCTGAGAGGGAGGAGAGAGAGGGTTTTTTTTGAGTCGGGAGACGGAGAAGACAAAGAGGCAAAGCAGGAGGCAAGCTTTTGTCTGTGACGTATGATGTGACTCCATTCCTTCCATCTCCCTAGCGCATCTTCAGTAAACATCTGTGCCTTTATTTAAGGCAAAAGGAGAGTAGCCCAGGAAGGCTGAGTTACATTCAGTTACACAAGTACCGACTGCTTTGCACATGATCAGAAGTTAGCTGCTGTTATCACTGCCTCTCCCTTTTCCCAAAGGGCCGGCTGTGCTGGCCGCGGGTGGATGGCCACAGCTGCTCAGTCATCTCAGTCCTGCACCAAGCCAGAGTGGAAGAGATTTTTTTCAGACAGTTTGGACTTTTCAGGCCTCTGAAAACACATTATCTTCGTCCTGTAGCCTCAGAGGCAGTTCTTAATCTGGAAAACTTGCGGGAATGAGTGTGCAATTCTAGCCCCAGGTGGAAGTTGACGTAATGACCTAGAATTGAGACAGAGTCTAGTATCGCACTTTGGGAGGCAGTGATATTGTGGGTGCTGAGGCTTTTTTTTAAAAAAAATTAATTTTATTTTTGGCTGCACTGGATGTTCGTTGCTGTGCGCACGGGGTCTCTCTAGTTGAGGGAGCAGGGGCTGCTCTTCTTTGTGGCGCTCAGGCTTCTTACTGCTGTGGCTTCTCTTGTGGAGCACAGGCTGTAGGCGTGCGGGCTTCAGTAGTTGCGGCACATAGGTTTAGTTGCTCTGTGGCATATGGGATCTTCTCGGACCAGGGATCGAACCTGTGTCCCCTGCATTGGCAGGTGGATTCTTTTCTGTGTATGTACTTACGCATGTGCGTGCATGCTAAGTTGCTTCAGTCGTGTCTGACTCTGCGATCCTATGGACGGTAGCCCCCCAGGTTCCCCTGTCCATGGGATTTTCCAGGCAAGAATACTGGACTGGGTTGCCATGCCTTCCTCCGTGAGATCCTCCCAACCCAGGGATCAAACCCATGTCTCTTACGTCTCTGGCATCGGCAGACAGGTTCGTTACCACTGGTTCCCCCTGGGAAGCCTGTGTGTGCTTATAAACAACAGAAATTAATTTCTCACTGTTGTGGAGGCTGGAGGTCTAAGATCAGGTTGAGGCAGGTAGGTGGTACAACCACTGTACTGGTAATAGGACGTCCCGGGGCTGAGGCTGTTTGTCAAGAGGTTGAAGGAGGGTCCTGGTGCGCATTTACATGGGCTCCCAGTGACCTCCACGGCTCAGGTACGGTCTCACCGAGCTCGCGCTGTCTCCTGTGTGCAGTGTGAAGGTCCTTTCCCGCTTTAGAGGGTGTGCCTCCTTGTCAGGGGATGGGGGAGGATCGCTGTCTCATTCTCTTCCTTTGCCTTGGACAGAGCTCACTCTACACTCGACGAGGACCTGGAGAGATGGCTGCAGCCCCCCGAGGACAGCACGCAACTAGCAGATCTGCCCAGGGGCCCAGCAAGGTTCTTGTTCTCCACCAGGGTGTCCTTTCCTTCTTTCTCAGGAAGGGGGACTAGATTTTAGTTTAGCTTTTTTTTTAAATAGATTTTATTATTAGTTTTTTAGAAAGTACATAGACTTCTTGGAGAATGAATGTTTGGCCAAGGTATTATGTCACTGTAGATAAGCTGGCCCCAACTCCTGTCTGCCCCTCTCCTTCCAGCTGCCTACCGTGCTCACTATGCTGACTAGCAGATTGATATCAGTGCAGAGAGAGGCCTCTAAAATTGCTGTATCTTGGCCCTGTCACCTTCAACATTTTCATCAGTCATTTGAATTAAATCAGAAAAGGCATGCTTATCAAATTTTTAGATAACACAGTCTAAGGATGAATGCTAATGTGATGGGTGATAGACTGTGGATTCAAAATGATCTTGACAGGTGGAAATGTTGAATTTCTCTGCAAGATGAAGGTGAGCATTTGGATCCAAAAGTATTGAATGTGAGAGGGCTGACCTAACAGAGAGTTTTTTGACCAGAAGCTCGTACTCAAATGTAATTTCATTGAAGATGGGAAATACGTCTTATTTTTATACGCCCAGCATTTAACATGCATTTTGAGACATGGTAAGAATTCAAGACATTCTCCTTGAAGAAGACATGGAGAGGGACCTCCGAGACCCCGGTCTGATATGGTTGCTAAGAAGGTCGATGCTGCACTAACACTGAACAGGCAGAAAAGGCGCTGTCCGGGTCAAGGTGACGACTCAGGCTGGCTAGAGGCCTCCTCGAACCCCTCGAACTCTCGTTCACTGTGGGGCTTCTGGTGGGGCGTCATGCTTTAAAAGGCACAGTCACAGACAGAGGAGGGTGGCCACAGGACAGCTAGATGTCTGGGAACTTTGTCACAGGAGAACAGCTGAAGTTGCTGGGGAGGCTCAGTCTGAGAAAAGAGTATGGAATAGAGAATTAGATAGCTGTTCCCGAATACCTGAAATACTGTAAGGAGAGTCAGCTTACTCTCTTCTGCCTGAAAGGACAGAGCTACTGACTAGAAACTGCAGAGTAAAAGACTTTTATTCAATAACGTGCAAGTTTTCTAGTAGCCACAGCAATCTGAAAGAGAAAACAGCTGCCTTTACTTTAACAACAGCTCCTCCCACCCAGGCACAGGCTGGATGACTCTGGTCCAGGGCGTTTGGATGGAGGTAATTGATAACCTCCTCCAACTTTAGAGCCAGCAATTCTATTAGTGATGAAAGGTTAGGAAGAAAAAAATTCTTTTCATCCCAGCTAGCTTTACTTTCTCTCTCACTTTGCATATTTTGTTTTGACTATCCACCAAATGAAAACAAGAAAAGTCACTACAGCATATCAGTTTGATTCTGCCATCATCTGTTCTGAGCACTTGAGGTGCAGAGCCATAGGCCACCTCTGCCCTTAGGGAGCTTAAAGCTGAGTGGGTGAGATGGTTTCTGCTTACTAGTCTGATAAATGTGGTCTTCAATTGTTAGATACCGCAATTAGATATTTCACTTGAGAGTTTCAGGAAATGAAGATAAGGCAATAAAATATATGTGGTTGTAAAAAGGACATCAGTTACAACATATGTGAAATGTTTGTTTCCTTTGAGACAATATAGCCTAGTGGTTGAGAGCAGAGTCTTGAGTCAGACTTTCTGGGTTGACCTCAGCTCTAGGACATACTGGGCATGTAATTCAACTTCTTTGTACTTCAGTTTTCTCACCACTCAACTACTTTACATAGTTGTGATGAGAATTAAATGAGTTAATATACATTACAGCACTTGAACACATAGGGAACCCATACAATTAGTGCTAGCTATTGCTATATTTCCTTGGGAGCACAGTTTTCTCCCTCTGGCCATTGTGCACATGATTTAATGACCAGAATCATTGTCTTTGAAGGGAGGCAAGCAGCAAAGATCTAGAAGTTGGTGAAAAGAAGAGGAAAGGGGAAGAAAGCATGAAGCCAGAGAGAAGGAAATTGGAGAGCTTTTTAGGGACTTCTGAAGAAGGTATGAATGGATGGTCATTATAATGTAACCTGGAGTCCTTGGGCTTCAGTGAGCATCAGAGTTATTTAAAAATATTTCCCAGATGCTGTATACAGTCCTCCTATACTTTCCCCCTATAGTTCAACCCAGGTTTTCTATTAATTGCCAATTATGTCTTCATCACAAAACGGTGACGACATCCAATTTTATTTCTAAACCAAGTCTTCAGCTACTGTCATTATTCATATATACTGTCTGGAAAGATGTCTTGCTCCTAATGTATCTTCAAAAGAGTTCTAAATTTCTCTCACAGAGAGGCTAAATAAGAATCCAATAAGAAGTCATAAATTGTGGAATTTAAGTGGTGCCTACAAGTAATGTGAGAAGTATAAATTAACCTTAATTTCAAAACTTTTGATAGAGCTTTAAGGGACCATCCACAAATGGTGCCTTCCTATATTTAAGATCCTCCTACTCAGGAAGTGACGGTCATTAATTCTTTCAGATTACCCGGTACCTCTTTCATCCCTTCCCCAGTCCATGCTCACTCTCCTCCTGACCTGTGTGAACTGAATCTGCTGGGCTTGCTGGTCAGCCGGCTCCCTGTTGGCCAGTGAGAGGCCCTAGCTGATCAGAGGGCTGCAGAGTAGCTGGATGTTACTTGCCTGCCTGCCTCTGCACCTCCTGTCTGTGTGGAAATGGTGTCCCTCCACAGCTTCTGTCCCGTCCTTCCACTCTGACTTGCACTGGGTTCCACTAACTGTGCCTACCGCTGCCCTCCCCTAGTCCCTTCAGGCTCAGGGGTGGTAGGGCGTCCCGCTGCTGCTGGTCACTGGATGCTTTGCCATCCCTTTTTTGCACCCTTAACTCTAACACCTCTGTAAGCAGGCACTTCATGAAAGGGCCGGGGGGTACATTCTGTTTCCTCCAGGACCCTGACTGTGTGAGTATTTAGCTAGCACTGAATTCACTGAGAACATGATGCAGGGACTCTGTGAAATTAACATTATTGGTGTCTGTTGATTTGAGAGGGAGCTGTAGGATATTAGGAGTGGAAGCCCAGCAATTATTTTTAGACATATTTCATTTCTGTAGAAGCAAACAATTGTTGGAGGTTAAACAGTCCACCCTAAACTGGAGAGAGTACTAGTGGGCCTTCTGAACGCTGGCATCCTTTGATCCAGAGAATAATCAAGTTGTTTTTTCTTCCTCCTATATTTCATCAAGAGGAACTGAAACCCTGTTTTTGGAAGCGACTGGGTTGGTCTGAACCATCCAGGTAATGAGATACTAGATGTTTGTAAGTCAGAGTCCACTGTTTACAGACAACATGAACAGACTTTAAACATTTACCAGTGTCTACATAAACACTAGTGACAGAGACTTGAATTCAGAGTTGCTCGGTTTGAAATGCTGATGTCTATACTTAATTAAAATAGAATGGGAAACAAACGCCAGCTTCAATTATGTAACTGGTGGTCAGCAGAGGAAGGCTTTAGGTGGAGGGTACAGAAGATGATGCCGTTGCTTGCTTTGCAGTCATTTTGCTTTCCCAGGATACACTAGTTTATCATAAGCTCTTTTGATGATAAAGATCAAAGTTTCTTTGCCTTGAGTTTAGTTGAATAGAAAGAGGCTGTTGTTTGTGTCTTTAAAAAACATACACACCAACTCGAAACTCCCTTTTTTTGTTCAGGATAATCGTGTTGGATCAGAGTGACTTGTCAGACTGACCGGAAGTGGACTGTAGGTGGACTCCTGGCCTGAGCTTGAGTGTCCTGCTCGTGAGCTCCCTTTGTCCCCCGTCTGCTGCGGTCACCATTAGGGCAGTGGGTCTGTAGCTCACACTTTGTTCGGCTTCCACTATCGACAGAATGGCTCCTTTGTTTGCAGCACATTTAACCATTTGTTTTCAGTCAGATTTCTGGAAAGTAAAAGGTGTTTTGATTGTAAAACTTTCTCATTGTGCCCCAAATGGCATTTGGTTTTTTTTTTTTTGATACAGATTTTCAAAAACTTTAAATTCATGTTATCTAATAAAACGTTTCCTTTTAATACATGTTGGATTTCACCTGTAAGATGTATTTCTTCTTTAAAAATTCTGTTTATTTATTTATCTGTTTTTGGCTCTGCTAGGTCTTCGTTGCTGCGAGCTTTCCCTAGTCGTGGTGAGCGGGGACTGCTCTCCAGTTGCACTGTGCAGATTTCTCACCGAGGCGGCTTCTCTTGTAGAGCCCGGGCTCTGGTCATGTGAGCTCAGTAGTCGTGGCGCATGGGCTTAGTTGCTCAGCAGCCCGTGGGATCTTCTCGGACCAGGGATCAAACCTATGTCTCCTGCATTGGCAGACAGGTTCTTTACCACTGAGCCACCAGAGAAGCCCTGTAAGATATATTTCGGTATTTTAGTTATCGAGAAAGGAACTGCCACCCAAAGAAGTTTTAATTTCTGCTATAAAATTTGACAAATAATTAACTATTGCTACCACCCATCATGGGCGTCCCAGGTGGCTCAGTGGTAAAGAATCTGCCTGCCACTGCAGGAGATTCAGGTTCAGTCCCTGGGCTGAGAATACCCCCTGAAGAAGGAAATGGCAACCCACTCCAGTATTCTTGAGTGGAAAATCCCATGGACAGAGGAGCCTGGCAGGCTAGTCCATGGGGTCACAAAAGAGTTGGATGCAGCTTAGCAACTAAATAGCAACCAGAAACCACCATACAAATGGGCACCAGTCATCCATGCTTTTTTTTTTTTTAAGTTTTATTTATTTATTTGCATTGGGTCTTAGTTGCGTCCCATGGGACTCTTTGTTTCGTCACGTGGGATCTTTTGTTGTGGACACAGGCTCTCTTGCTGCAGAACACAGGCTCCAGAGCGTGTGGGCTCAGCAGCTATGGGCACAGGCTTAGTAGCACCTCAGCATGTGGGGTCCTAGTTCCCTGACCAGGGATCAAACCTGCATCCCCTACATTGCAAGGTGGGTTCTTAACCATTGGACCACCAGGGACCCCATCCATGTTTCATTATAGAAATGTTTTTGCCCTCCTCTTTGCCAGGATTGCCATATTCCCATTCCAGCTATAATTGACTTACATGATAAACATATAGGTAGGAATAAAAGCCCAAGATATTTTGAACTCTTTAAGTGAACAAACATCATCTCTATATTTCAGTTTGTATACCTCACATCCTTAGTGCCTCAGAAGAATGAAACTATGGTAAGAAAGATCATAGTATTTTCTCTAATTTAGCCTCTTGTACAGTGCTAGCCAGCTAACATTTTATTTATAAGTAGTAGATCTTTTTTCTGTGAAAACTGGATAGTTCCTGTTGTGGATGGTCATATTCAATACAGTTCTTAGCTCCCTCAAATTTTACCCTACACAAATAAAACAGGAAGGTACAAGTTAATATGACCATTTATGGTTTTTTTTTCACTTATTTTTATTAGTTGGAGGCTAATTACTTTACAATATTGTAGTGGTTTTTGCCATACATTGACATGAATCAGCCATGGATTTACATGTGTTCCCCATCCCGATCCCTCCTCCCGCCTCCCTCCCTAATATGACCGTTTAAAAGCAGGGAAACAGTTGCTTGCCATTGTAATCAGAGGAAAAGCAAGACATATTACTTTACAAATACTAGGTATAAGAAACTGAGGAATACAGAGACTTGGTCATATGCAGTACTTCCTCTCAAAAAATTTTATATATTGAGACAAAACCAACATATGTAAAAATGTGAGAACTAATAGCAGACATATCATGATAAAGGGTGAGCATTATCTATTAGTATTCATAAAGGCTACAAGTCCTACACAAACTTGCCCTGATGTAGTTTGTAATCTTCTTGCCTACAGAGTAGACTTTCTGTCTGGCCAGTGACTGCATAATATCGGCCCTTAACAGTAATAATGTTGGTAAATGTTATTAGTTATGGAGCACCTATTATATTCCAAGTACTTGATATACTTGGTACTTTTCCTACACATGGCACTCTCATTGTATTTCTTTAGTACGCTATTTTTCCTACTCTCACCAGCTATTATTGCAAACCTATTCTTCACTTCCTCTCACCAGTGAACAGATGACTTAACCCCAACTTTACAGAGAAATTAGAAGCCATCGGATGGGAACAAACTCAGCTTCCCACCACCAGAAGTACTAACAAGATCACATCTGTTTCTGTGACTAGGAGAGCTGTGAAGCAGTCTGCCCTAAACTCGACGTGGACCTGTTCTGCACGTGTGCTTTCTACTTCCCTCCACGCTACCCTGAAGGAGGCATCTCTCTTCTTACCCAAGGCCAGTCTCATCTTTTGTCTGCTCAGAGTTATCCTTCTCAGGTTATCATCTCCCTTCTTAATAGCTTCAACGCCTTCTTTATTAGCTTCTTTTCATCACTTGACACCCTTAGATTTTTCCCATCTTTAAAAAGTATTCCCTGGACTTCCTTGGGGGTCCAGTGGTTAAAACTCCATGCTTCCACTGCAAGTGGTGCTGATTCGATCCCTGAGTGGGGAACTAAGATCCCTTATGCTGTGTGGTGTGGCCAAAGAAAAAAAGGAAACCCCGTATTCCCTGGATCCCACATACCTTTCCAGTCACTGTTGCATCTTTTTCCTCCCACAACAGTTAGCGTTCTCATTTAAAAATATTTTTTTTCTTTGGCTGCACTGGGTCTTTGTTGCTGTGCTCAGGCTTTTCCCTGGTTGCGGTGGATGGGGGCTACTCTCTACGTGGACTTCTCATTGCTGTGCCTTCTGCTGTTGCAGAGAACAGACTCTAGGCACATGGGCTTCAGTAGTTGCAGCTTGCAGGCTCTAGAGCACAGGCTTAATAGTTGTGGTGCACAGACTTAGTTGCTACTCAGCCTGTGGGATCTTCCTGGATGAGGGATCCAAACCCTTGTCTCCTGCATTGACAGATTCTTTACTACCAAACCACCAGGGAAGCCCTGTGTCATATTTTATAGCCCACATATAAGTGATATCATATGGTATTTGTCTTTCTCTGTCTGACTTACTTTAGCTAGTATGACAATCTCTAGGTCTGTCCATGTTGCTGCAAATGGCATTCTTTTTTATGGCTGAGTGGCAATCCATTGTATACACATGTACCACATCTTCTTTATCCATTCATCAGTTGTAGATAAAATTGTTTCCATGTCTTGGCTATTCTGAATAGTGCCGCTGTGAACATAGGGGTGCATGCATCTTTTGAATTATAGTTTTGTCCACATACATACCCAGGAGTGAGAATGCTGGATCATATGACTACTCTCTTCTCAGTATTTTAGGGATCCTCCATACTGTTCTCCATAGTGGTTTCACCAATTTACATCCCCACCAACAGTGAAGGAGCGTCCCCTTTTCTCCACACCAGCAAATGTCTCCAGCATTTGTTGTTTGTCAACTTTTTAATGATGGCCATTCTGATCGGCATGAGATGGTACCTATTGTAGCTTTTGATTTGCATTTCTCTAATAATTAGCAGTGTTGAGCATCTTTTCATGTGCCTGTTGGCCCTCTCTATGTCTTCTCTGGAGAAATGTCTATTTAGTTCTTCTGCCCATTTTCCAATTAGGTTGTTTGTTTTTTGTTATTGAGTTGTATGAGCTGTATATTTTGGCAATTGAGGAAATTAAGCTCTTGTCAGTCACATCATTTGCAAATATTTTTTTCTGATCTGTAGGTTGGTTTTTCATTGTTTTATGCTTTCCTTTGCTGTACAAAAGCCAGTAAGTTTGACGAGGTACCGTTTGTTTATTTTTGCTTTTATTTCTGTTGCTTTGGGAGACTCACCTAAGGAAATATTGGTACAGTTTATGTCAGATTTTGCCTGTGTTCTCGTCAAGGGGATTTGTGGTGTCTTGTCTTATATTTAAGTCTTTAAGCTATTTTGAGTTTATTTTGTGTATGGTGTGAGGCTGTTCTAACTTCATTGATTCACACGCGGCTGCCCAGCTTTCCCAGCACCACTTGCTGAAGATACCGCTGGTTCTCCTCTGTTTCCTCTTCCCTCCTGTGTCGAAGACTGCCCGTAGGTGTGTGGGTTTGTTTCTGGGCTCTGTTCTGTTCCATTGAGCCATGTGTCCGTTTTTGCGCCAGTACCATGTTGTTCTGATGACTGTAGCTCTGTAGTATCATCTTAAGTCTGGGAGGGCTATGCCTCCTCCTTTGTTCTTTTTCCTCAGGATTGCGTTGGCAATTCTGGGTCTTTTATGGTTCCATATAAATTTTAGGATTATTTGTTCCAATTCTGTGAAATATGTCATGAGTAATTTGATAGGGATCACATTAATTCTGTAGATTGCTTTGGGTGGTATGGCCACTTTAACAATTAATTCTTTCAGTTCAAGATCATGGGTTATCTTTCCATTTCTCTGAATCATCTTTAGTTTCCTTAATTAATGTTTTATAGTTCTCAGCATATAGGTCTTTCATTCTCTTTGGTCAGGATTATCATTAAGTTGTGTTTTTTTTTTTAAATATTATTTTAAAAGGAATTTTTTTTTTACCTTCCCTTTTACCTCTTCCTTTTCCTACTTCAAGCTTTCTTCCTAAGAGACTTTGCTCACATCCATTGGCTTAGCTTCTGTATGCTGACAACTTCCAGATGTGTATTAGAAGTCTATGACCAGACCTCTCCTCTTAGCCCATATATCTACCCAAGTATTCAGTCTCTGCTTGGGTTTCTTTCAGGTGTCTTACTGATAATATCCAAAACCAAAC